AAAGCGCCTGCCTGGCAAGCGCAAGGTCGTGAGTTCGGTTCCCGGTACCGGAGAAAAACCAAAAAAAAAAAAAAAAAAAAAAAAAAAAAAAAAGGAGGGAGGGGAGGAGGGAGGGAGAGAAAGATGGAGGGACAGAGACAGACAGGAAGAGGGAGAGGGAAATGGAAAGAAGAGGAGGAGAGAAAGAGAGGAAACAAAAAGAAAAGGAAAGGAAAGCAAAAAAAAAAGGAAAGAAAAAAGAAAGGAAAAGAAAGGCAGGCAAGAATAAAGAAAAATAACACTGAGAAATTGGGCAGAATTACTCTGAAGGCTAGGAGGGCCTAAAAAGCTGCATTAATTAAATTTGTGATACAGACACAAAGAGGAACAAATGTATAAACAGAGTAAAAAAACAAAATTGTGCACTAGAATTGTGAACACCTTATTTGTCAGATGACACTGCAAAGCAGTGAATAAAGGATGATCTTTTAAATTAGTATTGCTAGATTAATTGGGTCTTAAATGTAGAAAAACATCAAATTTGATCCCTAACTAGTATAGTGCTCAAAAGTCAATGGCAGAGAAGCTAATGGTCTAACAGTGAAAAGGAAAAACTAAACAATAAAGCAAATTTTAGGAGATTATTCAGATATTTACATGATCCTGAGTTTTAAAAAATTGTTTTCTTAAAATATACTGACCATAAAGAAAACCACTGACACAGTTCTCGGTACCGGAGAAAAACCAAAAAAAAAAAAAAAAAAAGATAAAAACAAATAAAAATCCCACACCATTTAGGGATTGGGTGGATAGAGCTTGTGTTTAGCAATGTGCAAGGCCTTAAGTCTCAGTACCAAAAACAAAAAACAAGAGGGTAAAGTAAAACCCTGGACAAGGGAAGTGAACAGATAATTTACAAATGCGAATATCTGAATGCTAATCCACATATAAAAAAAAGGATCAATCTCACTAGTCAGTACAGAGTATAAATTAAAGCAACCAAGAAATAACACTACATATTTCCCAAAATGGCTAAAAAAAGACAGTACAAAATACTGGCCAAGATATGGAGCAACTGGAACTTCATATACTGCTAGTGAGAAGGCAAACTGCCAGGACCACTTAAGGTAAATATCTAGTAGTATCTATTCAGGTGAATAAAAACATAGTGAACAATATTCTCTTAGGCATACACCCAACAGATGTGCACATATGTTATATACATGAATATGTACACACACACATATATATAAAACAGTCAACAACTGGAAGCAATCTAGTTATCTATCCACACTAGAATGGACAGTAGTTCATTCATGCCATACCTATGTGCACGTTTGTGAGCATGTACAGCAATGAAAATGAATGTGCTATAGCTGCATATACCATAACTTGAACATATTTCACATTATGCTTGGTAAAATCAGCCAAGACTCACAAAAGCACACATTTCACAAAATTTCATTTATATAAAAGAATTAAACAAAAAATAGTTGAGGAGTACAGGAAAGCAGTATGGAAGGCTAAAACCACAGGAGTACTTATATGTGAGGGACAGGAAGTCTGCTGACGAATGGTATGAGGACAATTCCTGGGCTCAGCTATGTTCTGTCTTTTGACTGAGGTGGATCATCTTGGTCCATGGATTTTTGGGGGGTAGTATTTATTAACCTTTTGGCCTGCTTACTTTTTTATACATAGTACACTTTAATAGTTTAAATAAAACCTTTCCAACAGTTTCTCATGAGCTACAGCAAGTTTTTTGTGAAAAATGGCTCCTACCACTCAGCATTAATATGCTAAATGTGTATAATGTGGTGTCCCCAGAAAAAGTGAAAAAATAGTCAATTCTGTTTCTAGCTAAATACTTACCTTCTAAGAAAATTTAATGAGCGAATGCATTTTCAGCCAGTTTAATACCAAAGAGCTCTTAAGACAGCACATAATCCATCTGGTTGCTCTTGCAAATGAGGAAACTGTGGCCCAGGGTAAAGTGATTTGCCAAGGCCCGAGTGGTATTTTATAACATTAAACCTATTACTCATTCTGTTGTATTATAATTCCTTCAGAACTATATGTAAAAAATAAGAGAAATGTCTCTTGTACAACAAAAGTGTAAGAAAAAGTGGCTGAGATAGCCCAAATGCTCACTGTTCGTAGTATACATTAAATAAATGTTATTAAGCCTATCAACCCAATAAAATGTTACAAAAGTGAAACCTGCACAAACAAGGAAGTTATCTTTCATAATAATTGGTACTGGGGACAGGGAATGGTGATTTGTCTTATATACCAGTGTTTTGTGCTACCCATTAGGATACCAGCCTAAACCTGGAAAGCAGCAGAGGGAAGCAAAGGAAGTGATAAAAAAATGCCACAAAAACAGTCACCACAAAATTGCTAAGATACACGAAGCAGGTCAAAGGAAGAAGAGACCAAGACTGAGAGTTTACATATATTAAGTAATGTGGAAAGTTGATTTTTCAAGATAATGGAAAAATTTATTATAAAGAAGCCATATGGCCTTTATAGGAAACAAGTCATATGGTTGACCCACCTCAGTTCCTGGCTTTCTGTAGTGAGGAGGGCAAGGAGAGCCCAAGCAAGCACCTGGCTGTCATCCCCTCCATGAAATTTACTGTGATGCTTAATGTTCTGCAACAAGAGCTGGTCCAAGCACTCCAGTGCCTTCTCCTGCACCGTGCTCTCGCAGTCCATCACCACAGGGATGACCCCTGCCAGCCAGGCTTTTTGAATTGGCAGACATCTGGGCTGGGCCTGAGAATTAGAAAATTATGACATCAAAAGTCTAAACATAAGTCTAAACACAAAAAATGTGTACATACCAGTCAGTGAGGTAGTTAGGAACATTTTGAGAGAGATGTTAAAACTGTGGTGCAATCCCTAATACCATACCACTACCAAAGGCCCCCCAAAAAAACTAACCAAAAAAACCCCTACGAACTATGAATGCAAACAGAGCATAAAATGAAAAAAAAAAATCCCCCTTAAAATCCCCAAAAACAAAGTTAACCTCTAGGTTATCATAAATCTATGCATACTGAAATCTCAAACTCATATATTAAACACATTTCATTTACAAAAATGTAAATTGGTACATTTCTGATCATTCAAAATCAAGAACAAATAATATTTATCCCAAAGAATTAGAATGCTGACAGAAAGTAAAAATAAGCATTGCTTAATGCCATCTATCATGAAATAGGGAAATAAACATGCTTAAAATTCTTCAACAGCTATTTAGTTGGCACATGTAAGTTATATACAGTGAAATGTCTCGTTTGGCACTAACCTTCATACACAAGTATGTATCTTATACAAAAATTAACCTGGGACTTTAGCTTAACCACACTCATTTTAAAATTTCTTTTTCTATTTAAAATTTAAGATGAAATCAAGAACAGGTATTAGGACTGCTTAGCATTAGTTCCTACTTACATTTACTAGGAAGTGTGGTCTATCACATGTATTGAAGGGCACCTCTTCTCTTACACTGTACAGGACTACAGTGGATGTGGTAGTTTCTAATTATCACCTTAACATTTAGCAGTATTATGCAGAATTTACTTTTTTTTCTTTTTGGTGCTGGGATTGAACTCATGGGCCTTTGCATGCAAAGCATGCTGTGATGGTTCATCTTGACTTCAATGGTTCCACTTGCGTGGATTGATAAACACCTAGAAAATTAGTAAAATACACTTGTGGATGTGTTTGTGACGGTGTTTTCAAATATTTTGGCATGTGAGAAAGCAAATTGAGGTGGGACACCCACCCTGAATGTGGCCAGAACCATCTAGTAGACTGGGAAGCAGATGAAACAAAAGCAGGAGGAAGCCCACCAACAGAGGTGCAAGCCTGTGTCCCTCTACTTCTCTTTCTTGGCTGCCATGAGGTAAGCAGTTTTCCTCTGCTACACCTTTCCATCATAAAAGCAACAGAAAATAATGAGCATAAAAGCAACAACTGGCTGACCATGTATTAAAACCTCTGGAACCACGAACCAAAATAAACCTTATCTCCTTTAAGTTGTTTTTCTCAGGTATTTGTCCCAGCAATGGAAAGCTGACTAATTGACACACTCTAGCCCTGAGCTATATTCCTAGCCCCAGAATTACTTTTGACATAAAATATCATGCAATAGATACAAAACACCTTGCTTCTCACCATAAGAAGTTCAGTAAGAGATTGCAGAGCCTGCTTCCGGACAGATACAGCAGGATCCCGACAGTGGTCCTGCAGAATTGTCAGGTCTTCCTCCATACCCAAGATATCACAGTGTTTCAAAATACTCACTAACACCTAAAGGTATACATACAACAGGAGGTGGTGACTAGACAGCATATATACAGAAAGACTCAAAGACCAATACTGCAAGTCTGTGGTTCTTAACATACTGAGTGCCATGGATCCATGCCCCTCTATGCAGCACCTCACATTTTGGAGTCAGATGAAAGCTAAGGCCTTTTCCAGAGAAAATCTGACATGTCATGCAATCAAATATTTACAACCAATTCTATCAACTTACTGAAATTCATCTATGGTCCCCAGATTAAGAATCTAAACAAAAACAAATTACATTTGTAAGTTTATGATTCTTAAAAAGCCAGCATCCCAACAGGAAAGTTTAAAAAAAGAAAATTTTTCAGTTCATTTGTATAATGTATATATGACAGGACTAGGGTCAACTATGAAAAGCAAGTTAAATCTAAAAAGGTCCAAATGAATAAGGACTTGAGATTTAAAAAAATATTTCCAAGTCTTTAGTGCTTAAAGACAAAGGAAGACTGTGTACAAAAGCTCCCACCTGAAGTGCAGACTTCCTGACGTTGGTCTTTTCGTCCCGGGTTCTCTTTCTCAGCATTGCCATGACACATCTTTCTGTTGAAGGAATGCCAAAGAATCACTACAGTCTGAGGAAGACCACAGGACAGCTAACATTTCTCCACACAATATCAAGAAAACACACTCTTCCTAAAGACTCACTCATTAGCTTTTTTTAAATTCTAAGAAGTCAGACTATGAAAAGGTGCTGAAAAAGAAAATCTGAATACCTAGGTATTTACTATAAAAAGTATTAGTTTTGGAATACTAAAAATTTCATTTTAAATCTGGTACTTACTATTAACATTTGGAATGAATTATTTAGTTCTTTTTTTTTTTTTTAGCCACAAATAGGAATATCTAATCCATAGGGTTATTTGGAAGATTTGACAGATAATATGTAACACAGCCTTAAACTGTCCATTGGAAGGCCTCTTTATACACATATTAGCAAAGACTCCAGACCTTTTAAAATGTCGATTATAATATTTACTATGAATTAGAAATTTAAAATGAGAATTGAAGAAACATTTAATAATTCACTCTAAAATAGCAAGACATATTACTATTTATTAATTTCTCAAAATGAAAAATACTACATTTTCTAAAACAAAAAACACCAAAAAGAGTAGTATTGTTTTACATTTTTGTAAACTCTTTAGTGCCAGGCCTAGTAAAATACAGCTGGATCCACATCTCTCTGTTCAATTTCACATGCCATGAGACCCCAGTAAAACTCCATTTTACACTTGTGAGATCAGGGTGTGGGAAGGAAATGAGGTCTTGATGTTATTATGAACACAGTAGTAACATCAAGGGCCCTGGAAGGAGGATAATAGTTCAGGGACTCCAAACCACCCTTTGGGAACTGCTGATATATAAGAAATTACCTTGAAAAATAAGCAAATGGAAAGGAACAGAGAAAAACAATGAAACCAAAGTAGGCTCTTTGAAAAGACGGAAATTAACAAATGTTTAGCTAGATTGACCAAGAAAATAAAAAGCAAATTGTTAAAACCAGGAATGAAAGAGGAGACATTACTATCAACTTTACATAAACAAAAAGGATTATAAAGTAAATACTAAAGCCAATTGTATGCCAAAGAATTATGTAAACTACATGAAAAAGACAAATTTCTAGAAAGACACAAAGTGCAAAGCTGGCTCCAAAAGCAGCTGGTAATCAAAAAACCTATCATATACACAAAAGCCAAAGACAGAGGTTTTTACAGGAGAATACTACCAAAAATGAACACCAACTCTTCACAGACTTTTCCAAAAATTAGAAGAGAATACACTTTTCCTCTCATAATACTGGGTCAGTATTACCATGATAGCAAAATGAAAGACATCTCAAGAAAAAAAAAAAAAACCCGACCAATACCCCTTATGAATATATACACCAACATTCTCAAGGAAATACCAGCAAATCAAATCAAGCATGATACAAAGAGGGTTGGTTATACACCATGCTTAGAATGTATCCCTGTAATGAAATGTTGAATTTGCCTGTGAAAATCAGTCACTGAAAATACCATAGCAACAGAATGAAAGACAAAAATACAACCATCTCAAGAGATGCAGAAAAGGCATATGCAAAATACAATCCCCTTTCATGGTGAAAACATTCAACAAAATTGAAATAAAAGGAAACTTCCTCATACTGATAAAGGTTACCCTGAAAAACTACACAGCTAGTATCAGACTTAATGGTGATGACCAAAAGCTTTCCCTCAGTACCAAAACAAACTAAGATGTCTATACTTCCCACCTCTACTCAACATTATACTAGTGTCTAGTGAAGATAAAAAGGTAAGAAAAAGAAATAAAAGGCATCCAGATTGGAAAGTGAAAAAGAAAACTATTTCTATTCATTGTTGACTTGACTTTCTACACAGAAACGTAGAAGTAATTAAAAACTATTGCAGCTAGTACCAAAACTTAGCAGTTTTGCAAAATACAAGATCAACAAAAATTATTTGTAAAAACTAAGCAATTTAAAATGAAATTGAGAGAAATTTTATTTATAATAGGATCAAAAAGAATAAAACATTTCCGATGAAAGATCAAGACTTGTTCACATGAAAAAAAAACCACACACACACAGCTTAAATATCACATGGTTTCTCTTCCAGGAGAAACTCACATGCCAGCACTCAGAAGGTTGAAGCAGGATTACCACAGGTTCGGGCCAGGCTGGGTTACACAGTGAGGTCAAGGCTAGCCTGAATTACATGTTTTGAGACCGTCTCAAAAACAACAAAAAGAGAGAAACCTAAAGTATAAACGATTAAACAGCAAAATAAAAGATAGATAACAGGAAACAGGGTACATGTAAACATGTACTAATTAAAAAAAAGAAAATGTCACTGAAACCAATTAAAGACCTAAGCAAATATACAGACATGAGATGGTCATGGATTAGAGGACTTACCATATTAAGATGGCAATACTCTCCCAAACTGATCTACAAGTCAATCCCTATCAAACTGCAAGATGCTTGTCTTGCTTTTTTTTTTTCTGCAGAAATTGACAGCTAAAGTTTCACATGGAAATAAAAGGGACCCAGAAAAGCTAATGAATTCTGAAAAAGAATATACAGAACCCATAGTTCTTGACTTCAAAACTTATTGAAGGAAAACAGAATGTCACCCCAAAATATGCCTCTTTGAAATAAAAAGCATTTGTTTGGGCTCAAGGCAATTAAGCAGCCCTAAACAGAGGAAAAGCTCTCTCCAGCCTCAAGTTTTTCTGCCCAGAGGCAGGGAATAAACTCTCCTCTATCAGAGACAGCACCAGATCCTTACTAGCGCAGAGAAGTGCTAGAGGAATCTGCAAATAAATTTTACTCCAGCAGTTTCCTCCCACACATTTACATTCCAGTTTCCTGCCCCTGAAAGCCTAAAACTGCCCTTACCCCAAACTCGACTTTTTCCAGTCATAGTTTCTACAATTTAACTCTTCTTTGTTGAAGACACTGGAGAAATGTGGTTTAATCCACAGCTCTGAGTTACTTTGCGTTCAGGTTTCTCTCATGATGTGCACTGCATGTATTAATAAACTTTTTTTCTTGTTAATCTGTAGGTTTGTTTTTTTTTATAGGAATTCATTCCAACTAAAAAAGAACTCATAAGGAAAAACTTAGTTTTTTTCTATTACAACAGAAATCAACATAGGGCGGTAGTAGGACACAAACAAGACATTAGATCGATGGAATAACTATTCAGAGTACAGAGATAAGTTTATACATCTATGGTCGAATGATTCTTGTTGAGACCAGGAATATTCAAGGTAAAGCAATAGTCTTTCAAACAGACGGTTCTGTGTCAACGGGATGTTTACAAGCAAAGGGTGAAGGTGAACTCTTGCCTCATACCGTATATAAAAATTAACTTAGAATTGATCACAAGTGACAGTGAAAACTATGAAACTCTTAGATGAAAACATAGGTATACATCTTTCTGACCTCTGATTAGGTAGTGGCTTTTTAGTTGTGACACCAAAAAGAACAAGTGAAAAAGAACAAGATGATTTAGACTTCAAAATTTTTTAAAAATCTACTTAAAAAAACAAGCAAAGGAGTTGGGTAGATATTTCGTAAAAAAAAAGTATGAGAGTTAGATAGATATTGATAGGTACAGATTCTAATAAATGTGAAAATCTCACACCATTAGGCTTTAGGGAAATATAAATCCAAAACCATGGTGAGATATATCAAAACATCACACCTAGTAGGGTAGACATGAAAAGTGCTGGTAAGGATACAGAGACACACGAATTGTCATACGCGGCTAATGGCTTTGCACAATGGTATGGCTACTACTGACAAGTCTGGTGATATCCAACACTTGCTACATGACTGAGCAGTTCCACTTTCAGGTATATGGTCAAAAGCAATGAAAACACAAGTCCATATTAAAACTTGCAAGAATATTCATGGCAAAGTAACTTGTTAAGTGGATTCCAGGATGGTTTGAGGAAAACTGACAAGATGGCAAAATGACCAGGAACAAAAAATAGGAACAAGATACGGCACAGTTTATCTTTTTACCATGTTTTGTGGTGACTTTTCCCCACACACAAATTTAATCTCTCCTAAACTTTTCTTAGTAACTGGTTCTTTTCTTAGCAGTCCCAAAAATTCATAACAATTAACTTTAAAAAGAAAATAAAATATTCATTAATATTTTCTTTAGTGTTACAGGTACACGGGGGTTTAGAACATGACAAATGGGATATTTATCATATTGTCTTGAAATACAGTACAAGGATATCAATTAAAGATATAACAGAAATCACTTTTAAGGAAAAATATTTCAATTAAGGCTGAATTTTTTTGTTTTCTTTTGAGATAAGCTCTTGTAGCTCACACTTGCCTTGAACTCATGATATAGCTCAGTTTAATACTGACCTCACAGCAATCCTCCTGCCGCAGCATCCTGTGTGCTGGGATTACAGGTATGCATCATCATACCCACCAAGGTGGTGAATTTGTCAGAAAATAAAATTCAAAGTTTTTAGACTTTAATTACAATCTCTGGAATCCAGTGGCATTGCTTGTCTGATAGTGATAAAATCTGACATACCTCTAGACCCAACTATATGACCACTGCTGTCTGTATTGATCTCCTTTGCTGGTTCAGAAGGGTTAAGTGTTTGCTTCTGAGAGGAAAATGCTAAAAAAAAGGTAAAAATCTGTTATACTTTTAATGGTATATATAGGTACAGCATGTTATCAATTCATTATTATTGAGTTGAATTTCAATTTCTTTCATGAAGAACAGAAGTACGACATTAACACAGGTAAATACGCAGGGAGAAAAATATTTCAAACATTCTGCAAGGCTTTAAAAGACAATTTTGCAATATATGAAAATATACTTATCTATTACCTGATGAAGCTCTTGATAAAGTACCAGGATGAATCCCTATTTCTGAAACTGTAGGACCTGAAAATAAGCAGGTAGATAGGAGGGAAAAAGAATCATAAATAATGCGTAAATATCCACAGAAGCATTCAAATCAAGATAGGCCTAATGGCAAAGCACGCAGATTCCAAATTCCAACAACAGATAACATTGTCCTTGATACACACTCAAAGGCGACATCAGGCCTAACACAGCCAATGCCCAATAATGCAAAGCAGTTGCAAAGGCAGACAACATCCCCTCTAACATCTGAATATGTAACACTCCTTAAAAAGGCCTTTCAAATGTATTAGGGGACCCTATTTAAAAGTCACTCAAAATTAGAGGTATATACCAGCACTCAGGAGTCTGAGCTAGAAGGATCACGAGCTGGAGGCTAACCCAGCCTACAGAGTGAAGCCCTGCCTTAAAACAACAACAAAAAATTAGAGGTGTAGCTCAGTGGCAGAGCACATGCTTGGTATGTACAAGGCCCTGGATTTGATCCTTATCACTACAAAAAGAGTCATTAGACAATAATAGATACTGAAAATGATTTACAAATATAAAAGCTAATCACACTAAAAGCTGGCTGTAGTAGTACAAGCCTGTCACAAATTTGAGCCCAGGCTTGGCAAAATAGTGACTGAACAAGTATATGGCTCAAAATGAACAAAATAACAAGGGTGGGAATGTAGCTTAGAGCACAGGCCCTTCATTCAGCCCCAATAGTGCAAAAACTCATCATCATCACCATCATATCATATTCATTATTTCTGCCACAGCAAAGAAACAAAGAATGATCCCTTACAGTATATGTCTCGTTTTTGGTGTGTTGGGGATCAAAGCCAGGGCCTGCACGTGCCAGGCGAGTACTGCACTGTCTTCTATTACTAAATATACCCTCAGCATCTCCTACTTACTGTTAATGAGCAGCTCCAATATACTCTCTGATGTGCTGTGAACAGACAGCTCCAGACAACGTGCAAAGCTTGACAGTGCTTTGCTGCGCACAGTAGGTGCCTTATCCAAACAACGATCAAACATAATCTCCTGCACCAAGAATTTGTGCCTTAGGAACTTTTGGTGCTCCAAGGAGAGAGTGTCATCCACCTCTCTTTCAGGAAGCTCTAAGAGAGCTAAGACAACATCGAGAGTAAAAACCCGGTGGGCAATCTGGCAAAGCAAATAGTAAAAATCACCATGAGACAGGAGCAAGAACCAAAGAAACTCTTTTGCTTCAGATCTGCCTGTCCTCTGATGGAGCCAGGACAAGGGATTTCATGCAGATCAACACCCACCTTGGAACTTCGTGAGTATTTGTAAAGCCATGAGATGAATGTAGCATATTCCCCACAAGGAAGTTTACTGAGCAGGTGGACAAGGGACTGAGCTGCAGAGGTCCGATATTCTGCTCTATCTGTCACCTGAAACATGAAGTACAGAAGTTTTTAGCCTGGAAGTATATGTAGGACAACTTTTGTGATGTAAATTGAAGACTAGTGAGCATAACCAGTTTAATCTTTAAGTGACTAAGAAATTCTAGGCTTCAGACCTCTTTGAAAGCTGAACTATAAACCCTCTGCAGAAAATTACACATACAAATTTAACATACAGCTTCAGAGTTTATGGCTCTTTAGGATCTACAGAGTTCAAATAAAGAATCATCAAACAGTTATACGCATTTAGAAGATATTCATGAAAATTTGAACATTAGCTGAATTATTTATTATTTAGCTGTGTTAATATTTTGGAGTTAGGTTTCTTATTCTTTAGATACATACTAAAATATTATGAATGAAAGGATATAATGGAATCTACTTTAAAAGACAATCAATGTGCACACATGTGAGGAAGGAGTAGAAATGAAACAAAACTGATCAAAATGGAAAATGGGAGATGAGTACACAGTGGTGATTCAGCACACAATTCTCCCTGCTTCCGTTTAATATTTTCCAAAACAAAGTTTACATTTTAAAAGAATACTTTGTTTAAAAGAACATTTAGGTTAGAGCTTTTCAGTAATTACAGACACATTGCCAATAACAAATACACATTTTTCCTCATATATGTTACACACTGGCATATTATCATTATCATGACTAAAGCAAATGGTACCTTGGCACAGATGTGCTGCAGCAGAATACGAAGAACTGGAAATATACTCTCTTTTAGTTCATCCACAAGTGAGCTATTTAAAAGAAAAACATGTATCTAGTGTTTATAATACACCTATTATTACAACAAAATAGTAATTTCCTTTGACTCTGTCCTCAAAAACCACTATACCTATGTTTTAAAAATCCCAATATTAAAACAAATCTACCCACATAGTGTAAGAGTTGTTTCAGTAAAATAAACATAAGGTATCAAAGTAGAGCACAGGGGCTGGTGATATAGTTCTATAGCATAGCACCTGCCTGGCAAGCACAAAACCCTGAGCTCAATTCCTGGTACCAAAAAAAAAAAGAAAGAAAGAAAGAATAGCACACAGACATACCATATTAGGAGTAGAAAACTGGTAAGCACTTCCTCTATACTCTTTTAGAGAACTGTTGTTGAAAAGCCAAGTCAGGGAAGTACAAAATGCCATTTTCATATAGCTATTTTGACTAGGTATTAAATTTCACATTAAGACATAAAATATAGCTGGGCATAGTGGTGTTTGACTATAATCCCAGCACTCCAGGACGGCTGAGGCAAGTGGATTCCAAGTTTGAGCCTAGCCTGGACAACTTAGTGAGACTGTCTTTAAAAAACAAGAAAGTGCTGGAGACGTAGCTCTCTGGGAAGGAGCACTTCCCCCAAATGAAACCACACCGAAGCAGACAAACCAACCAAAACACCTCCATGTAAAATACATCCTTTTAGGATAAATGTAACAACAGACTAGGATATAGTACCACCTCCTGGCAGCTTACAGAAATGGTGCTACTTTAATGAACTTGTAACATTACTTCTCCAAACTCCAAGAGTTTATTAAAATGTCCAGATTTGATCCATTTTTTTGCATTAAATTCATTGTATGAATGTTACAGCAATGGGCAACATGATGAACTCTCATGGAGAAACCAAAGTGACCATGTTTCCCTCTGAAGTATTTAGTTCAATGTTTAAAAAAAACCTTAGCAAGACACAATGGGTTCCATGATGAGAAGACATCACCACCCGTGTTTCCAGCTCTATAAGGCACAGCTGCAGGCAGGTCCACACTCCCAGGTACATACTCACCACTTTTCCCTGCCCTCCTCACTGTATACCCGAGACTCAGTGAGGGAGGGAAAGGATGGTTGAGGATACAGTAAATATCTTTCCCAATAAAGCTAAGACAGGAGTTTTTAAGTAGAGCTGAGTGACTCATGGGGAAAAAAATAGTCTATCACTTGTTGCTAAGGAAGCAAAAGTAATTTACTTCTTTCCTCCAGGAAGTTCTTTCTTTAGGAGTGGATTAGAAAAGTGAGAAGAAGGAAAAAAGGGAAAGGAACAAAAGCAAAGAGATAGGCATAGAGAAAAATAGAAGAGGAAAGGAGGAAGACTTCTTTTTCGGCTGGAGAAGTGAATTATCTAAGCTAGTGGTGGTAAACCTATAGCACATGTGTTATTGTCATTTTAGGATAGAAGATGTTAATGCAGAAACTGTTTTCTTCTAGACTAAAACTGTGCACTATTCAGGTTTAATTGCAGAGTTGGCACTTTGTGATAAACAAGTGGGTTTTAGGTTGCAGTTGGGCACTCCCTCTCTAAAAGGTTCGCTATTACTGATCTACGCAGACAATGGTAAGAAAAAGAACGCAACTGTCCATGTACTGGTTGCATGAACTCAACCTAAAGGCTGGCTTTGGCCCAAGAACTGCAGGTTCTCTATCTTTTTTAACAATACCCTGACATAGGGTCTACCATCAATGACCCAGACCACAAGAACCAGATTATTTTGACACGCAAAACCACCATCCGGCCAGACATTTCAACTCCATAGGTGTCAGAAATCTTGCTTAGTGAGGGGCCCAGAAGACCAAAGCAATGCGATAGACAGCAAACATTTAAGATTTGTGTGCTTCACCTGATGAACTGGACTGCCTGGTTCTTATGACTGACGACTTGTGAAGTAATAGTAAGAGGGGCACGATGGGATCCTTCACCTACTTCTAACATCAATAATACATTTAGCATTTGATGAAAAATACAACCAATAACCTAGAAGAGAAAAGAAAGTTCAATTTATGCATGAGAGAAAATCCAAAGATCTCACGGACAGTGATGCAGAGTACCGTAAGTCACTTTTATCCATCTCAGGATAGGGAAGGTTAACAGAATTTCTAGCTGAAAACCAGCAATGTGTTTCTTGGATAATTACTAGGTACCAAGTAAATGCACAATGTGTGAAAGAACTGGTCACAGAATACTATCTAGTTTCTCTCCCCATTTTCTACATATAATCTAGAATGGAGGGTAAGCAGAGAATTGCAACTTATAAATAGTAAAGAATGCTACTAGTATTCCCTTATTCTAAAAGGGGAGAAGAATGATACCTTACACTTATATTTTACTTGAAGTTTACAAAGCACTTTCCAAAATGTTATCTCATATAATTAATTTAGCTGGCTAATGTATTCATCTGACAAATAAAACATTTACTAAAACTGAAATATGTAGTAGGTAGTACATTAAGTTACTTCTTTCATGTAGCCAGACTTTAATACCTTTAACTCTGACATCTTTCAACAATTCTATGAAGCAAGCAATGTACAATTTCCACTTAATAGGTAACAAAAAACTCTCCAGGTGAGTTGGGGTTGGTTGTCCAGAGTCAAGGAAAGATCTGCTTAAAACCAAGGTTCTCTAACTCTCCTAATTAAAAGGGTATGGAATTCTCCTTCTCATTTTATCTTTTCAAACGTCAAAAAGGACATGAAAATAAAAATATTTCTGTGGATTATATCTTCTCCATATTTTAAGCACACAGAAATTATATATAGTAAATTATAAAATACTGAACATTAAAAAAAAAATACTGAACATTTTCTAAGCAAGCATTTCATTCAGCATTTGCCATATTTAATTTCATTTAACTACTTACCAGTCTAATTATTTAAATATAGGATGACCAAAATTTGCATATTTTTGGTTAATCATTATAAGATATTATAACATGAAGTATAAAAAAATGACAATTTTATCAAATTTTTTCAATAGTTTTTCTGTGTATGGTATATCATAAAGCATTCAATACACATGGTTACAATCTGGATAGTAGTACCTGGTCTCTTTCACAATTCTTTGTGCATCATTGTCTTTCTTTGAATAACGCACTTTACACTGTAGTGTTGTTGGTCTTTCCTTTTTTTCCTGTGGGTGATGTAATTTCTATAAAATGTCTACCCACTAAATGGAATGGTGCAGACATTAATGACTGATTGGCATTTTGCTATCCTGTAGTTTTCAATTATTTGGTCTCTTAGACCTAATCTAAATTGTAGGTGGTTTTTTGAACCCCCTTGTTTTGAATAAATAACAAACAAGTTTCATATTGTTTGGTCCAAAAGGGGCATAAATATTTTATGATAATATTTTTTACTCACTTTTGTTTACAGGATAGCTTGTAAGATATTGGTCAGCTCTGTCAACACCACCCACAGAATTATTATAATCACTGACCACTACTGGAATTTTTAAAGTTTTGTTTCTCTGAGTTCTACCATTTCTATACTATGTGAGTAGTTGAAGTAAGGAAATGTCTCTTTTGTCTTTCCATTTCCTAACACAGGCTTTTCCTCTCTGATCTGCTAACACTTCTCCCTTTCTCAATTTTTTCTTTTGCAGATCTTTTGGTCCTTCCTTCCTCTTTAGTCTCAGTGTTCTAAATGTGTTTGTTTTATATTGTAAAAGACTATCACTGAGTTTTGGAGAAATAGAAAAATTCTATCTCCTAAACTTATGGTAAGAGTTTTTACAGACTAGCACAAAATTATACATTATTTTTCACAAATAAAATAAACACAAATTAGTAAAAAAAATCAGAACTTATTAAATTTCATTAGAAACAAGCATCAAAGGCAAATACAATATTGTAAATAAAAAAGTATGCAAAAACTAGTCGATATAAAACAGACACTAAAGTGTATCTCAAACAAGAACTGACTGCTGAAAGGATAACACCTGTGAGAGTGATGCTGGGGAGTTAGCATGCACACAGAGGTGCTGCCCACATGACTCTCAGGGTAAACTGTTAAGTGGTTAAGTGCCAAAACTGAGGCTCTTCCAAAGCTGACACAAGGAAACAGAACTAGTAAACAGTGGAAGTATAACACAAATATAGGTGTGTAGAACCTCAAGCACACCTAAACCTTCCTTTTAAGACCCATATGCTCCTGCAAATTAACTTTTGTAGGCACCAAAAGTCACAGGACCTTGGTCCACTATTTTCTCCAAAGTCTTGTTATTTATTAAGCACATTTAAGTTTAGTAGTACTATATGCATGAATTCCCTAGCTTCAGTGTTTATTGTAGCAATAATAGTAAGGTAATTTAGGGGGTAACATCTAGATATCAATGCTAGCTAGGAATAAAAACCCATAAAAATTCTGTACAATCTCAGCTTAATACAAACACTAACAGATATATTGAAGTACACATAAGTTGCCAAGGGAAACTTAAAAATTTCATGAATTTCTAGTCTTTTTTAGAATAATTTGCTGTCCATTTCTATAACAGTAACTTCAGCAGCTTATCTGTTCTTCGTACCTAATTCATACTAGAACCATTCTTTGAGGGTGGAGGGGGGAAGAGTCTGAAACCGAATAATTTGCTTAAGCCCCCAAGTACACTGGATATAAACCTGGTAACAAAGATTGGACACCAAATAGAAACAGTAACACTAATTTTTATTATACAAATAATATAAGGTCCTAAAAATAACAGTAAATTAAAATGGCATCACAGTAGTTGCCACTTATCTACAGAGGATACACACCAAAGCTCCCTGCGGACAGTACCCAAACCTACAGTATATACTGTATTCTTCCCTGTGATAGAATTTAACCAGCACAGCGAGATTAACAAAAATTCTGTGAATTCCATCTCTTAAAATATCTTAGGCATTGTACTCTTGCTTCTTATCCGTGGCTGACTGAAAGGAATGGAAGTGCTGGAAATGATACTGTTAATGAAAAGGAATTCCAAATGCTTTTATATTTTACATTGTTCCACTGTGTGGTCTGCCTGCTTTCAACTGGTAACTAAATTAAATCCTTTTCTCTCTTACCTTATCTCCTTCTCCATGAATTGGGGAGCACAGCAAATATAATCCACAGTAGGCCAGTTCTGGTATGTATTTTGCTTGGCTAAGGTTTCTGAAGAAAAAAGGCAAAACATTTGTTAATAAATAGGATTTTGCTAGGAGTGTTTCTTAACTCTGCAAGCCTTATTTATTATTACTGTTACTATTTTTGAGGTTCAGCCTCATTGGTGCTCAGCCTGGTTTTAAACTTCTGGACTCAAGTGATCCTCCTGCCTTAGCCTTCCAAGTAGCTGTGACTGCAGGCATGTGCCACCTCAAAGGGCTTCTAATCCTAGCCCTATTTAAGTGAGTAAAGTCTACCTATGCCAACTAGAATAAAATGACACACTTCTATTGAAGCAAAAACTACTATACTATATTTAAACTGTGACCTGGAAGATTTAATTGCTTACCTGGCTTGTGCAACATGACATTCACGAAGAACTGGCTCAAAATTAGTTAAAGCAACAAAGACCTGGAAAACAGATATCAAAGAAAGGTCTGGTTTTTCCTACTTGGTAAGAGTTAGCAATGCCCTCTGAAGTTGCCCCAAATTCACTCACCTCGATACAAGTCCGAATACACTGTGGCTTTTCTTTGAGGGAAAATTTGGGTAGAAGCCTTAAAAAATTCTTCAGAAGGTTAAAGATAGCATTTCGAATTCGAGAAACGTCTTGGGCAGAAAAATAAATATTCTCTTCATCACCTTCTTCTTCTTCTTCTTCTATAATTTCATCCATCTGGATTATGAATTAAAAGTCCAAGTTATGCAGGTGAATGTAGAATAATGCCAAGGTTTACTTTACTCAAGCCATGCCCAGTTAAACTTCAGATAGCAGCTCAATCACTGAGGTGACATGACCTTGACCAGGTCCCTTCACCATTTGAGGTCCATGGCCACACTGGTAAATCACTGGTGTGGATGATCACTACAGCAGTAAGGAGAATTCCTGTATTTCTTACAAGTTTTGATGTCAGTAAACCTCTACTGTATAACCTTGTTATATAAAAATGTGGAAATCATGCTGTTTTGTTATGGTCTTAGAGACATGACCTTCAGGATACTTTAACTGTCCTCTCTAATGACAGTAATATGGCAAATGTCCTGGTTAGCACAGTGCCAAGCATACTTGGGAAGAAGTGTAGTAAGCAGGCTGGAAAGGCTGCAAGTCATACTACATAATGATGTGAGTTTAGGATCCTTTAGTTATAATCATAGTGCTCAACACCACATCCTTAAAAGAAATTAAAATTCTGTGTTGGTATAAATATGTTTTATTCTTCCCTTTCTCACCTCAGCATCATCTTTCCTGCGTGGCTTTCCTCTCTTTCTGTTTCGCCTTGAATTAACCTGCGAGTTCGGTGCTTCTTCTTTCTTTCTTTTCCGATTCAAGTTAGATTCCTGAGGCCAGCTCTTCTTTAGAATCTGAATGCACTTGTCAAACATGACTGGGTGGAACACCTGATTGGCTACACTGCCTAGTCATAAAGAACAAAGAATAAGCAGATTAAATTGTCTTGAAATATGTATATTAAAATAGATAAAAGTTTGAAAAAAAGCAAAGAACAGGATTTTTATTAATTTTGAATAACAATGATTTTTTAAATAAAACCAACCTTTTCAACTTCAGTCTTAAGTGTGAGCAATGGTGTTAAATTAAATATAAATAATAAGAATTGAGTGTGGTGGTACAAGCCTGTAAACCTAGCATTCTGGGAAGCTGAGGCAGGAGGACTACAAGTTCTAGCTCAGAAGGGCTGGGGACGTACTCAGAGCAGAGGCCTCGGGTTCAATCTCCAGTACCGAATAAATTAAACAAACAAACAAACAGATTTCTGCATGTAGCCACAGCAGGGTAACTATTTTTATACTTGTCTTCCTACTGGTAAACAACTAGAAAACTGGAGAAAAATTTTAAGGCACCAAGTGACAGGCAGTGTAAGAAAAGCAATCCTTGAAAAAAGGGAAACAAAGAATAAAGTTAAAATCACCCCAGTTTTATATCTAGAGGCAATTACTAGACAACAGCAGTGAATCAAAGCAGATTATGAAGACCTTGCTAAACCGAGAAATCTAAGTCAGGAAGTTAGGGGTTGTTGGAATTCACATGATACCGAATATACGTGGTACTTAATGAACTGGAGTACAAAAAAAAAGTCCAGAAATCAGTACAGAACCAAATGACAGCTCTGCATGTATGGAGTAAAACCTTATCATGGTAGGAAAAGAACTATTTCCAAGAAACCAGAAGAGAATTATTTTCACAAATCACACAGAGCTGAGATACATTTAAGGTCCAACTAGCCACAGTGAAAAGACTTACAAATCTGAAGCATTCAGTAAAGACCTTGCAGAAAACACAACTTAGTAATAAAGCTAAACTAAATATGGACTAAAACCTACCTCATAACTACATTGAAACAGGTTTTAAAACAAGATCAAGTTAATTCACCAGCCAGCAGCTATGAAGTACCAGTACATAATCCAGATACTCAACAACTTAAACTGATCTAGATTCAGTGCAGTCCCTGTCAAAATCCCAGCTGCCTTTTCTTTTTGGCATAAGTTCACACGCAGATCTTAAAATTCATATGGAAATGCAAGGGGCTCAATATAGCCAAAATGATCTTAAAAACTGTAAATAAATATTAAGAATCAAAAGCATCTAGATCATAATACAGAAACACTCAGAAACAGAAGGTTAATTAGCCAGGAAACAGCTTGCTGCAAGTGGTCCACACATTTTGTAACAGCAACCTCTTGCTCTGGCCTGAGCATCAACCTTCATCAGAAGGAAGGACATCTGCTAGGGAGGAGGAATGAAACCTAAGTTCTAGAACTACTATTTTTCTAAGAGAGGCCTAGCTACAGCTATGATGCTAGCAATTAAGTTCTTAGAAACTTATTGCAAAAGTCATTATGGGAGCATTAACAATGATTCATGTCAGTTTTCAGGACTCTGAACATCTTTTTGCATGTTCCCAAATCACACATAATAAATTGCCAACATTTATTACAAATGCATTTTATAAACAATGACAAACAGCAAGCTGACTAGCCCTGTGATTTTCTTGGCTCTAAGAACTCACGATTTTCCAGCTCCATCTCTATGCTCTATTCTTTCTTGCTTGGATTTAGGACAGAGAGTATAAGGGACTTTTTCACTGCCCAGCTATGAAATGCTAACAAGCATGACAATGAGGAAGGAGAACAGTGGTTGTAAGAAGATTCCATTTCAGTGTTTTCTTTCAAGTGTTTGTAAACAACCTATGCACATCCTCCAAGTTAGCTCCAAACCTAATACAATGGAAATACTATGTAAGTAGTTGCTTACTATATTACTTAGGGGATAATGACAAAAAATTCTGGGCATGTTCAGTACAGAGGCAATCATCATATGCCTAAACTCACAGTACATATCAGCAACTTGTTATGCTTTGGAAGTATTTTCCATCTATAATTGGTTAAACCGACAGATGCAGAACCCACTGATATGGAGGGCCAAATGTACACATACCTGGTATTTCTAGAAGCAAAAAGTAAAGTCCAGCAGCATGAAGTCCATACTCTCGATATCGCACACTGACGTTTCTCTTATGTACTATTTGAACAAAGTGATAGAATAATGCTACCAGCGTGCTATGGGAAATACTGTTCTCAATGAAGAAAGTCCAAATACTCTGGAGGGAGAGAGCAAATCATGAAACCCAGTAATTAAAAGAAATGCAAAGATCTTTAGCTTGATTTCTGCAAATCTTTATTTAGTGCCTCACAAAAACAGTAACAAGAACTGGAGATGTAACTCGTGGTAATACATATACTTGCCAAAGTATATGTATTATGGCACATACAAAGCCTGCCATTTAATGGCACGTATAAAGCCTGCCATTTAATAACCAGGACCAAAAAAAAAGAGTAATAGACCAGTCTGCTAGTCTGGCTCCTAAAGATAAACGACTATCATTTTCAAAGGACTAAAACAAGAGATCAAAATAAAAATTTACTATTCAAAATTACAAAGATAAATACAAGAAATTTATTAAATATTTCAGAGGTATTAATAGCAAACATCATGTTCAAAATGTCAGACCTAGTACCTTGAAAGTTTTGGGAAAAAGCCAAGATAGTCCAATGAACAAACTATGGTCTTTATGTTTCTCTCTCATTTTTTTTACTCTTTTAAACTTAGTGTTAAAAAAAAGCTCAAATTAAATTATAATAATGACTTTCATCATCTACTTAATACCTAGATATAGCTAGCTTGATTGCTTTTTCTTTACCTCTGAACATCCACATTCTTCAGTGGCAAAGGGGAGAAGACTTTCATACAGTTTTGTAAAGGCACTCAATCCAGTCTCTATAATCTGGGCTTCTGTGCTGGAATCCAAAGGCTCAGTCTCTGTAAAGTCCAGTTCCCACACTGTGTCCACCCATTCTAGAGGAAAATGCAACCAAATTAACAAGGGCTCAAAACACTTAAAAACCAATCACTTTTAAGGTGGGCGTGGCCAATGCACACCAGCAATCCCAGTACTCAGGAGGCTGAGGCAGGAGGATCACAGAGTGGAGACTAGTCCAGTCTATGTAGTGAGTTCAAGTTCAGCCTGAACTACATGGTGAGATTCTATCTCAGAAAACAAAACAAAACAAAACAAAACAAAAAAACTAATCACCTTTAGACTCCATGTATACTTCAGAAAAGTCACAGTTCACATTTAATTATAGCAATATAGGTGAAGTATAACTAAAAATAGTAAATATAAAGGAAATATTTTTTTCCTAATCATAACTGACAATCTGCTATTAGCTTAATCACCTAAAAAAAAATATCAAGAAACAAAACATTTTTTAGATGAACAGCCTTGGGGAGTGAGACTTTCACACACTTAATAGACAACCTTCTCCATAAATTCTAGGAAAGAGATTAATCAGTGACGGCTTCACATGAACATCTGTGAAAAATCTCATAATCAAGTTACTAAACCCAAATAAACTATGGAGCACTTTCCTGGACCCTTGGACACTAATATACCATGTCATAAAACAGATACCATTTTCCCTAAGCAGCTCAAACTGGAGAAGACAAGTTTGAATCATACAGAAATACTCAGCACTTCCACCACTGGGAAAAATGTACTAATGCCACATTCTCGCTGGATTCCCTATCAAGCTCTCTTAACTCTAGCCCTTATCATACTTTTCTAACCAGCTATTTTTCTTGAGTGTTTTATTTTTATTGTCCCACACCTAAAATTGGCACTAGGTAAAAACATAGTCATTTCAAAAAAATTATTAGTCAGGTACTTCAAATTCATATTCTTTGTCACTGATTTAGAGAAGTGGAATAGGATATGCAGAAAAGAGATGGGATGCCGCCACCTTTATCTTTTATTCCTACACCTCACTCAGCAAATGAAAAGCATGACAGTTAACTAGATCCATCATCTTTATAATAAAACCTTTGCGTCATCTTTTCTCAGTTGAACTTGACCCCGAAGAAGGAAGTCCCTGTAACTCAAGTGACTTTGCATAGCATTTCTTCCAAAGATATGGAATATGCTGCCTAAGACCTGAACAACACAACTGTATTCTAATCGTATTTCCAGTAAAGTTTTAATGCTTATTACAGATACTATAGGAACATAAGTATCTCACTTTTTGTTTTGGTTTTGCATATGACAGCTCACTATTGTCAAATTTAGAGGAAATTAACTGTCCAATCCTACAGTTCTCCTAAAGTCATCTGCATGCCTTTAGTCACATCATTTCTAACATTTGGTTCTCCACAGAAAGTTAGCATCCAAAAGCAGCTAGGATACTCGTGTAACTGCCCAGGTTCACTATCCGGGCTTGGATGTGGGAGGCAGGACAACTTGTGGTGGTAGACATGAGGGGGGAAACCACGAAGGACAGGACACCCGCGTTTGTGGCCTGCCTGATGCCACTCGTTCGCTGTGGGAATCCCAGCTCCATTCCTGTGATGATGTCTGCCTTTCGGACATCTAGTGGGACCTATGAACAGGAAGTCAAGAGACAAGTCTGGCTAAAGAGAGAACTGCGAATTAAGGCCACCAGAAGAGATGAAAATTGTTAGGTCTATGGAGACCTACAGAGTAAGGGGGACGGCCGAGGAAAATAGATTCAAGCATGGAGATCAACCAACTTCAGCTCTTTTCGCTGCGGGCCAGCGGGAATCGTGCACTACGCCGGCAGCTCCCTTCCCCCACCCCGGCCCGGGCTGAGGCATCGCCGGGGACTCAAAACACCCCAACCTGCCCTCCGGGACTCGGGGCTGCGTCTCCTCACCGGAGCTGAGATCCAGCGGGCACCAAGGCTGCAGGCCGCTCCCAAGGCCTCGCAGCGCCACCATGATCCCTGAGGAACCAGCTTGCCACCGCCGTGCTCAACTTTCAAAGCTCGCTCCCGCGCGCGCTCCGAGATGTTCTTGTGGACCAATCACAGCTTACAGAATTTCCAACCGACCAATCAGCGTGCCGGAACAGTTTATTGTCTTCACCAACCACATAGGTTGTCTGTCGCCGCATGCGCAAAGAGTAGGGGCGGGGCAAGGGGTGGAGGTTGTATGATGTTTCGCGAGGTGGTATATTTACTACTTTCTGGCCCCGTAAAATAGGGGCCAGGTGCTCTGTTAAAGCCTTGGAGCTTTGTTTCCAACTCTTTTTCTTAAATGAGAGGAAATCTAAAGATAATTTTAAAGAGGATGCTACCTGTCATACCTGTCACCTTTGCCCCCTGTGAAGCGACATTTTGCTCGCGCGTCAAAGGGCTTCCTTCACCTCGTCACACAGCTTCCAGGAGCTATATATATATGTAAATGTGCATGGTAGCCCAGTATTTACCCAGCTAAAACGATAAGGGAAAGCATCCCCAGAATTTGTCTATATTTCTTTGTATTTGATGGAACGCCTAGGCCCAAATTGTACTGGAAAGAAGCTGGAGCTGCCATGTTAACTGAGGGAGAGGCCGCCTTCCTCCCACTGCACATGCGCAGTGAGCACACCTCCTGGCAACCTGGAGGCTGGAGTGGGAGAGAAAGTCGTGCGCATGCGCGCGGTATCTCCTGCGCCTTGGGCTGGACCTCGCCTCCCCCTCTCCGCCCAGAGCCGCGAAACACATTGGTGCGGTGCGCAGTAGGAACCTGTGCTGCTCTCCCTGCTGCTAGGCGCTAGACCCCACCCGGTGGGCTGCGGAACGTTGACTCAGGCTCTGCACCACTACCCCCTCTAGAGTTGCACAGTCGACCCTCGCCCGCTAGCTGCCGCCAGCTGCTCTGGACTGGCGAGGTGCGGCGCGACGCTCCTCCGTGCAGCGCTGCTGGGGACGCGGTAGCCTACCCCGGCCTCCCGGCCGCCCGGCCCGGCCCTGCCCTGCCCCGCCCTGCCCTGCCCTGCCCTGCCCTCCTGCCCCGGTACAGCAGGCAGCCCATCGGCCCCCGCCCGCCCGCCCGCTGCGAGCCCAGCTGTGCTGCAGCGGCCCAGCGCGCTCCCGCAGGGCCCTTGTCCTCCTTCCCTAGGGCAGCCCGAGCCCGGAGGCGGGAGCCGACCTCGGGGAGCACGGCCCGGCCCAGCCTGGCGGAGCAATGAGCTTCTTCGGCTTCGGGCAGAGCGTGGAGGTGGAGATCCTGCTGAACGATGCGGAGAGCAGGAAGCGAGCGGAACACAAAACTGAGGACGGGAAGAAGGAGAAGTATTTCCTCTTCTACGACGGGGAGACCGTCTCTGGGAAGGTGAGCCTCGCGCTTAAGAACCCCAACAAGCGGCTGGAGCACCAGGGCATCAAGATCGAATTCATCGGACAGATTGGTGAGTCGACCCCCGGGACCTCCCCTCCCCCTACACCATCCGCCTGGCCGGGGCCTGAGCAGCGGGTGGAGAAGAACCGAGCAGGAGGGCCCAGCTCCAACCAGGCTCTTCAGGGTCTTGTCAACTGCAGTTTGAGGCCTGAGGTTCAAGCCTAAAGTACCGCCCGTGGGCGACAGCCCTGCCTTACCGTCTTCCCTGCCAAAAGTGACAGCGCACTCACTGTCGGGAAGGTGGGGACAGCGGGGCAGGAGGGAGCGCCCTAGTGTGCGATCCGAGGGAAGCCTGGACCCTCCTATCCCGGTTGTGTCCTCAGCGTGCTCGAAGCTCAGCTTCTTGGCCCCAGGATTTCTGAGCGAAGTGCTCCAGCTATAGCCTGCAGGTGGGTTTGTTAGCGGAAACCGAGCCTCCACACCGGCTCTCCCATCTGTGGTCATTTACAGCTGTCAGACCCAGAGTTAAGCTGCACCCACACCCACGCCCCTTTTCTCTTTAGCTGTGCGTGAAAGGGCTCACCAGTTGTCTTATCTCCTCTCAGATCTGAACTACCTATCCTGTACTTGGTTTTAAAAGAAGGCCTGTAATCTTCTGCCTCATTCTGCTTGCCTACCTAAACTGCATTTCTCAAACCGTTATTAGAGTGCTAGTCTTCAGTCATCTAATTTTCTCTTTAAAGACAAAGAAGTGATGTTTCTAAAACCGCAATAAATGATCAGTATTTCTTAATGCTCCATAACAATTTTCAAACATAGTTCTTAATCATGGGACCTTTACAGCAAGAGGCAGTAACAATAAGGGAGATTTAGGAGCTGCCTGACAAGATTAGGTTATTTTCAATTCAGAGATTACTTGGAGTCTTGCATGTTACCAGAACACTCAGGTGTTTCTAAAATTAATCATTTTCTGGCATGAAGTCAAGAGTAGGCTCACAATAAATAACTAGTGGGCTGCGGAACCTTCTGGCAGGGAATCTATATCCTGTACCCCACACGGGTGCATGTGACACTGTTTTTGGAGACTTCCTTGGGATGGTTATGGAACTCTCATATCTTGAGAGGTCAGTAAAGCATTTGTTCTCCCCTTTTGTAGGGGCAGAAAACATAGACACAGGTAGGAGGAACCCTAGCAGAAGTAGTCCTGGCAGCCTGACCCTGTAGTCTGCTGTTCAACTTTGAACATCTTTGCCTCAGATCCTGAAGGAAATGAAATCAGGTTAAAGACTGGCCTACCCTATAGGAAGCTTCCTTTTGTTATTTTGAAGGCAGAATGGGAGAGCCCTGTTACTATACTAGAAAAAGGGTTGGAAAATAGGTTTCATGCCTTCTGCTTTTCTGCTCTGGCTCAGATGGCAGGGTTTCTCAACAGCAATGCTGTTGACACTTGGGAGCTGGTAGGTCTTTTTTTGTCACAGGTTTTTAGCAGTATTGCCAGTCCGTACCAACCAGGTGTCAGTGGCACCCCTGACTGGTAACCATAAAACTGTGGTTATGTTGCTGTCTGGCCCATGGAGGGTAAAATCAGCCTTAGTAAAGAACTACAGGTTACATGAGATAGAAGCATTTCATGTTACTGTAACATATGAAATAGTTGAGAAATCCTTACTGAGAATTGGTATTTTCAGATAGGAGTTTTAAAGTTACCACATCAGTTCTTTGGCTCCATGATACTGACATAGGCATATTTAGTCTGTTTTATTCCATCACTCCCAAGCAGACTTTGCCAATATGTGGAAGATAAACTATAATATCCCTGGAGCGAGGCAATATAAAATGAGCCATTCTAAAGGAATCCCTTTTGTCTAAATGAAAGGGGGTTGAGAGGGCTGTTTGCTGTATGTGCCCCACCCGGTCTCTTGTCCAGCTCCTTAATTCCAAGATGTCATCCTTACTGAATTTTCTCAAAACCTTTTGTTTCTTCTGCTGCTAACTCTTCCTAGACTCTTGGTCACGCTGGGCTGAGTTGGCTATAAGAGTTTGGGAAAGTTAAGCCTCTTGATGGGCCTCAGGTTTCTTGGGTGTAAAGCAAGGATAATAAAATCACCTGGTAGGTATTTTGAGCACATCAGGGAATCTTGTCTCATGCTCTTTATAGAGTTCTTTTACAAAAATGATAATAGTTGATATAGCGATGTTTCCATTTCACAAGTTCTGTTGTAGTCACTGATTTACTGTTTTTCCTTACTTCCCATCTTACCTGTGCCCAATAAGATTTCCACATGTACTTGGCGAGAGTGTACATTTTAGCTCTTGGCTTTTAAGCACTTGCTTCTGCCATGTGAACCAGTCACACCTGATGTGGCTTATGGAGCCAGTCCCAGCTGTGCTTACATTCTCAATTATCCATGATTCCATGAAAGAATAGAAATAGAAATGTGCAGACTAATAGATGACATGTTTCTTACCTTTCTTTTCTTTCTTACTTTTTTTTGTTTTTTTTTGTTACTGGGAATTTGGGAATTGAACCCAGGACCTTTGCACTCAGCTACACACTCAGCTCTTTCTGTAAATTTTTTTATTTTGAGACAGGGTTTTGCTGAGTTGCTGTTTCCCGGGCTGGGCTCTTAACAGTCCTGCCTCAGCTTCCTAGGGTGGTGGGATTATAGACTTGTGACACCATGACCTATGGGGATATGTTTCTTGATGAAGAATAAGTCTTCAAGAACAATAAGAAAAGTCTTTCTGGTTAAGTTTGATATAAAAGGGAATTTGTATTCCTAAAACTAGGACCACAAAGTGACTTTGCTTAGAAAGACTCTTATTTTTCTGTTTTATCCTCTTGGCCCCTCAGAAGCAGGACATGAAGTATTGTGTCACACACCAAGGACAGTCATTCTGATGAGACCTCAGGGCAGTGAAGTGAAACTGCTGGGTAACTTTGCTGAAGTTGTGGTCCTGTGGTTTTCTCCTTCATTGCATTCTTTGTGTATCAAAAGGGTGGAACTTCCGACGTGTTCTAAGGTCTGCTTGAGTATGGGTGACCTAGGAGGGTAAGAAGGTTGCATCACTGAGCTCTGACTTCCTGTGTCACTGATTTTGGGTGGGGGTTTTGGGAGAAATGGGAGTTTTGTCCCATGTCCCTTCTCACTCTGTCCAGCTGCCTGCTGGATGTGTCCACCTGGATACACGCCAGCCGCCTCAGTGATGCATCAGAACAGAGCCTTCCCCAGTCCTTTCACACACATTGTACCACCCCAGCCTCCTCTTTCTGCACTGTGGCCCATGCCACCTGTGTCAATTCAGCCCCAGAAATCTAGGCATCATCTTAGGGTCTTCACACATTCAGGTGGCTTCTAATTTTTGGTCCTCTGCCACAGCTCTGCAATAGATCTTTTTTCACCCATACTGGGGATTGAACCCAGGCCCTGGTATATTCTAGTCAAGTGCTCTATCACTGAACAATATTCTCAGCCCTTTTTTAAAATTTTGAGACAGGTTCTCACCAAGTTCTTCAAGCTGGGCTTGAACTTGTGATCCTCCTGCCTCAGCCTTCTCAGCAGGTGGGATTATATGCACATACCATCATGCAGAGATTTTCTGTATAGATCTTAAAATCTGCATTGGTTGTTTATTTTGTGCTGCTCCCTTTATTATGCAGCCTCCTGCTTGAGCTCCCTGCTTTTTTTCCTTCTGCTTTACATCTCTTGTATGAACTTTCTAAAAAACCCTTCTAAGATTGTCAGTCTCCTCCTTAAAGAAGCAAATTCTTTCTGAGCTGACCCCTACCTCTCTTTTCAGATTCATCTCTCCCTAGCCCTTTTCCTCAAAATGGCTTGTTCTTCCAGAATTTTGGTATCTTCCTTTTATATATTAACATCTTTCTAAAAGGTATGCTCTTCCACACATGCTCTTATTCATTCTTCAGAACCCAGCTGTGGTAAAGCCTTCCCTGACTATCCTCACTCAAGCACTTCCTGTAGTGTTCTTGACAGGCCTCACTGTTACCTCTTCTCAAGCAGGATTTGGTTTTGTTTATTTAAGTTGTCTGTCTCCCTCTCCTAAGGCTGGGGACTGCCTTCCACCATTTTGTCTCTGTGGCTTGTAGGTACAGATAGAAGTTCCTCAGTATAATGTATTTGTTACCTGGAAACATCTGTTTGATCTAAGACTTCACAGAAGCTGTTCTCTGAATCTTGTTTTCTCAACTTCTGAAAAAGCTAGTTATTTTAACACATTCCTGCCGGCTTGAACCACCAGTTGTCCATGCACAATTGCCCACTGGGTGACATGGGACAGTCACATTGGGTGGTACAAGCTGCCCGATGGGGTAGTCACGCGTGTACTACAGCCCCTTCATGAATGTGTTAATACAAAAATGGAAGAGTGAGGGTTTGCTTTTCTGTTGACTGTTAGTCGGCTGGACTTTCTACATGTACCTGCAGCTCTTAATCAAGGCCATGGAGAACTCTGATGATTCATGACGGGCGTGCACCCAGCAGTGCAGTGTCCTCATTAGAGAGGTGGGTAAGAAAGTGCTGAAGCTAATGTCAGTGTACTCACCTTTGCAAATTTTTTTTCCCCAGTTCTGGGGGTTGAAGCCATTCACATTGAGTTGCATCCCCATTCCTTTTCTGTTTTTCTTATTTTTGAGGCAAGGTCTCACTAAATTGCTGTGTTGTCCATGGTGGGCTTAAACTTGCAATACTCCTGCCTCAGCCACCCAGAGTACTAGGATTACAGTGGATATCACAAGGCCCAGCTATGGCTTTCTTTCATTACATTCCTTTACCAAGTTGAGACTGTTTGCTATGTATGAGAAAATGGGAGCTATTGGCCCTATGGGCCAGTGTTACAGTTTGAATAAGGCCTCCGACAGTATAATAAGAATTTATTTATTCACCTAGGTTGTATTTTTCTGTTACCTCAGTCGGTTTTTGAACAGCATTAGTATCCTCCCTGTACCTAGCAAACTTTTTCAGTGGCTTGCTCGGTCTAATAGTGCTAGCAGTGTGTGGAGAGAGACTGCCAGGTCAGGTCCGTGGGATAGTAAGGTGTAAGGTCTAGTTACTCCACCTGTTGCTAATGGCCCACAGGTTTAGAAAGATGCAGTAAGGAGCACTGAGGGAAGAACTGAATTGCTGGAAGTAAAATAAACCATTTCCAAATGGTTTAGGGGAATAGATGAAAAGAAGGAAGGGAAAAGCAAAAGGAAAAAAATATATCTATAAATGTATATATATATATATATATATACACACACACACATAGATAGTTAAAGTAGTTGTACTGCTAATTTCTCTCAGTTCATTTGAAAGAGGTTTGTGCTAATATTGTTTGGACTATTAAATGCTGATATCTCATACTCAGAGTAACTAACTTAAAGATAATACGAAATGTACTAAACACTGTTACCCTTGTATCATATTGTTTTGCCATCTTGTTTTTTCATTTTTTGTTTTTTTCTTTAAAATAAAAATTTAAAAAAACTAAAAATGTTTCCAGCAGGAATCCTTTGGAGAATACTGATAAAAGATGTTAGACAGACCTGGGCCACCTTAGTAACTAATTGTGGTTAAAGAAACCCATTAGAATTAGAAGATCAAGCTTGTAGAGGAGAGAAGCCATGGATATCTCTTGTACTCGAAAGCCAAAGAGATACTTCTCTAGATCTTTAAAAAGGTTTTAGTGAACGAACAATACCAATTAGACCAATACTTTCAGAATTTCCAGAGACTTGGTATTTTAATTCAATACCTTTGGCATCTAAGTGAAAGGCATGTTAAGATTAAATGCATTAATCCTGGCCTACATGATAAGTTGCCAACAGGGCTTGGAGGGAAGGTGCACATCATAGAACTGGGGAGGTGCAGTGCAGAGGTGTGTCTTGCTCCTATGGGTTCAACAGGAGCCAGGAGAGGTGAGTGGACCATATCAAGCCTGGATCTTGACCAGGCTGCCAGCCAGCAAGTGGGCTGGGAAAATCAGATAAAGAGGCAGCTCTTCCAAGACCAACATGAAGCCTAGACTATGTGTGGCCCTGGCCCAGCAACAGGTTCTAGCCTGTGATGCAAAGCCGGCTCAATTTCCTTTAAAGTGACAACCTCATTTCTTGGCCATTGGTGTCAGGTTTTTACCATGAAACATCCTGAGTGAAACAGTTATTTCCTTCTTTTGGGTTGAGAAGGAAGCTGAAGACAGAAGTTTCCTTCAAAACATTAAAAATTAAACCAGTCAGTTCCTATTTTCTAATTGAAAATGTGTGGTCTCTGAGGGCTTTGGTGGTTGAAAAGAATTAGAGATTGAGTAGAGGAGGTTCATGGTCTCTTTAGGGCCCAGACTTCTTGGATTCTCTCTTTTAAGTTATGCAAGATGATCCATCAACAGATGAATGGATAAAGAAAAGGTGTTATTTACACATAATAGAGTACCATTCTGCCATAAAGAAAAATAAACTTGAGTCCTTTGTAGGAAAAGGACTTGAGACTATCATGTAAGTGAATTAAATTAGACACCCAAGTTTAAATATTGCATGGTGTCTCTTATATGAGCAACCTGAAGTATAAACAAAGGGTAAAATAAAAAGTTGATAATAGGAAGTAGGGAGATGGATTTTAATCAAATGGGAAGGGGATGCAGTGAGGTGGAAGGGAGGGAAGGGACAGGGCATAGGAAAGGAATTAAAACATGTACATGTACCAACTGTACTAGCAGAGTGTAAACATGTACTGCAAAGGTGCTAATGAACAGGACAGGGATCAAGAGATGGAGGAGGCAGAAAGGAGGAAAAGGAAAAGGGATGAAAAAGAATTGATATGTACATTTTCCAGCTCTCCCCAAGGAATGTAAACACATGTACTAATAAAAAAAGACAATAAGAAAAAGAAGATACAAGTCCTACCTTGCTATTTTTGTCTCCCTCAAATAATATATTTCCTTAAATATGGAGCCACAAATCATTTAACTGAGTAAGAAAATTCTTTCATTGTGACAAATACCATACTGCTTAGTGCCAACAAAATCTGAATGAAAACAAAACAAAAAAAGTTATATAAGAAAAAAACAATCTTTCTAGCAAGCAGCAAAGGAGGGCTACAATTTTTTCCTCTTTGGTCCACAATGTTTACAAAAGCATTGCAAACAGTTTATGCACTGTAAATTTTAAAGGGCAGTCCAGCCCCACTCATACCACATACTGGCCACCCTTCCCTTGCATCAGATGCAGAAGCTGATGTCTGTTACAGGAGGAAAAGCAGCCAGGAGAATGTGATGCTGTGCAGGAAAGAACTTTGCCTGCCCAAGTGCCCTGCTGCGGCAGGCAGAGCATTATTGCAGTGTTGCTAGGGTACTTGAATACTGGCAGCCTGAATGCTCTCTGAACCTTCTCTGTTTTGTTTATTTTTCATGTTGCCTTCTGGCTGTGTGAGCACATTTGTGTATTTTTCCATCCCTCTCTTTCCATCTTCTTGACTCTGGGATTTTTCAGGGCCATTGGGACTTTTCTCTGCCTTTCTCTGACTTTTGGAACTAGGGTACTGAGGCACAAGGCTCCCAAATTAGGTGTTCAGTTCTCACATAGGAGCCAGCACCATTATCATGGGCTCAGGTTAAAGTATGAGTAGAGGAGTCCTGTTGCTGAGGCTGGCCGCCCTCCTATGGTAGTCCTGTACTTTTTTACTTGATTGGGTAAAACAGAGATTGCATTGCTTACTTTTCGCCACAGAGTTTGGAATTATCATCTCCCATTTAGCAGAAACCATTTAGTGTTTAGAAGAGAAGGTATATTCATAATAATAGATAGATCAAAGCATGGCAACACAGTAAATTAGCCACAAAACAAACCACACATAATAAATTATGAATACATATGGAAGTAGCATCACCAGTGTGGGATTATCTATACTGCTGCCGCCTTCATGAGTTGATAATTTTTTTTAGTGCTGACACTGAACCCAGGACCAAGTAACTTCTACTGCTGAGTGGCATCCCTAGCCCAAGTTGGATAAATCTTATGCCAGACTGGTTCTTTGTGGAATGATCGTGTCAAGGGAAGCTCCTAGACCAGAAAGATGGGAGAGTTGGTGTGCCAGCTAAAAAGCATGTTCTAAATTTTTTTTTTTTTTTTTTTTTTTTTTTTTCTGGTGATGGTTGTTCTCCTAGGGCAGGGCTGAACACTGTGTTGACCCTGTGGAAGCAGATCTGATTTCCTGAGCCCAGGAAGGCTTTGATCATACTCAAAGCTCAGATCTTGTGCTGTCCACGCAAATGCAGTTTTCTCAGGCTGCCCCTAATGCTGAAGTTACCTTGAGAAAGATGGGCTCCCAGCCCCGGGAGAGGCTAAGAACTAGACCTTGTTTACAGTTGTCCCAGAGACTACTCTGTGTGGACCCGTCTCTTTGTCCCTAAGTAGCAAAGCACAGAAACATCAAGAGTGCTCTTCCTGTTCCACTTCCCAGCTTATCGCCTTTGCTGCAGGTTGTAGCCTAGCTTAGCACTTGAACCGAGGAATACCTGAGGAGTGGTGGCTTGAATTGTCACGTTGGCATATCTCATCGCAATCCAAATTAAATTTGACACTGTGCAAACTCAGGTACAGGGCCCCTCCAAGAAGCCGGGGATATGGGCCTTATTTTTAGAAGACCAACAGTCCAAACTGGGAAAGAAAGATACAGCAAAACAAATGGCTGAATGCAAACAGACATAAAATAGGACAAATGATAGCCTGAGCTTATCACAGAGAAAGATTATTTCCAGGAGAGAATGAATTTAGAACAATGCTTCTCAAAGGCTGGTAGCCCCAGCCCAGGAACTTGCTAGAAAGGTACATTCTCACGCCTCACTCCAGATCTGAGTCAAGAGTAGACCTCCAGAGAATGCTAATGCATGCAAAGTTTGAAGACTACTGACCTAGGTGAGTGAAATAACATGAAAGCAACCGTGGCAGATGGGCCACATGCCTGTCTTTCTTAGTGATAATAGCAGCTAGTGGCTGTATTGATTATTTGCCATCTACTAGTTATTGCCCTAAATCTTTTACCTTCATCACCTCCTCTAATTCTCATTATGGCAGGTTATAGACAGATGTAGTTCAGAGGAAGCCTGCTATAATCTCAGCCCTGCAGCGAACTCTGTGGTTCTGAGCCAGTCCTATGACTATGCCATGCCTCAGTTTCCTTCTGTTAAATGGGCGATAAGGCCTAATCTAGCTGTCTTGTAAGATTGCTAAGTGGTGATACAATTAAACAATGACATGTATCCTTTCAAAAGTTAGAAATGTTAAGATGATAATCGATTTTGATTTTGGGTTCCTTATCATGTATAACCCTCAGAGCTGCTCACTGAGGCTGGGTGAGGCTGTTTTTCCACTGTCCCTATACTTTCTTACTTTTATGGGGGAAGGGGGCAAAATTACTGGATTGCTACCTGGAGCAACATCTTAGAGGGGATTATAATGGGTTCTCTTTGTGTCACAGAATTTCAGTATACAAAAGGGATGAATCAGCTAATCATTGTGGCACACACCTGTAGTCCTAGCAACTTAGGATGCTGAAACAGGAGGATTACTTGAGCCCAGTTCAAGGCCCGCCAGGGCAACATAATGAGACATCTCCTTCAAAAAAAAAGGTGGAAGAGTCAATGAAAGGAAGGAGGAGGAGGACTAGTGTCTGGGGAATATAGTAAAGGGGTGGGGGTTAGGGAAAGAAAAGAAGTCGAAAAGTAAAGCTGGAATGGAACTATTTGGGGGCGTCCTTCCAGAAGGGTGGTGCTTCTGGCCTGGGGCACCCTTGCTAGGCCCTGTGTAGCCTGGGTCTGATAGAAGAGGTGTTGTCTCTTTCCAGAACTGTATTATGACCGCGGGAATCACCATGAGTTCGTGTCCCTGGTGAAGGACTTGGCTCGGCCCGGAGAGATCACTCAGTCCCAGGCCTTTGACTTTGAGTTCACCCACGTGGAGAAGCCATATGAGTCTTATACAGGGCAGAACGTAAAGCTGCGGTGAGTTCCCCCCAACCTTTCCCCATCCCAGAACCTGTCCAATGTGGCCAAGGACCTGAAGCTGTCCCTGCTTCTGAAGATCTCTGAGAAGGAAGAGTTTTGTGGTGTGCTGGTAAATGTTTAATAATGGGCTTTGTGTGGTCAGAGGCCCCTGGTGTGTACCACTTGTCCATTTCTGTAGTGTAAGTACACTGAGGCCAGTTTCCAAACACTAGCTGTCTGTTCCTGAATGTGGATGTTGGGTAAAGTGGGTGGTAGCCACTGTTCCATCACGTGTGAACTAGGAGTGCATTCCCTTACGGGCAGGAAGCATCGTAGAGTGTAGGACAGCCATTAAGAAGCATTGAATTTAATAATAATAAAAAAAAGCATTGAGTTTAAACTGGGCATGGTGGAATGCCTGCATTCCCAGCACTCGGGAGGCTGAGGCAGGAGGATCACCCTGTGTTTGAGGCCAACTTGGGCTACATAGTGAGTTCAAGGCTCAATTGAACTACAAAGTGAGACCCTGTCTCAAGAAACCAAAACAAAACAAGAAACCCCCCCAACAAACAAAAAGAATAGCATTGAATTTTTCCTGTATATTACTTTTGTTTTAATACAATTAATTGTAAGATAATATAATTCACTTTAAATAATAGCTATATTTAATAACCAGGTCATAAAATTCTTTAAATGTTGAGCATCAGTTTGGTAACTGAGCTGGCCCCAGCACATCCTCAGCTGAGTGTCAGGAGATACTGAACCCTCATCTAGTTCTGCTTCACAGCAGCAGTGTGAGCTCAAGCTCCATAACTCGGCTTTCTCACTGGAAAAATGGGTAATATATTTAGATTCTGATTTTAGATCTACATTCTCCATCTTTTGGTCTTGACAAGAAAATAAAATGCAACACAGTATAACAAAGTTTTTAAAAATTACATCTATGCACACCCTTGTTTATAGCAGCGCATTTTATAATAGCTAAATCTTGGAAGTAGCCTGTATGCCTTTCACCAGATGAATTGATAAAGAAAATGTAGTATTTATACACAATGGACTACTATTCTGCCTTAAAGAAGGATAAAGTTGGGGCATTTGTAGGTAAATACATGTACCTTGAGACCATAATGTTCAGTGAAGTAAGTCAGATATAGAAGTTTAAATGTTACATGATTTCTCTTATATGAGAAACTTAAAATATAAAAAGCAGAGTAAAAGAGAAGACAAAGTAGAGAGTTCTTTTTCAAATGGGAAGAGGAATAAGAGATAGAAGGAGGGAAAGGAAAAGAGATTACAAAAAAGAATTGAAGAAAAAAAATGGAAACAGCTTTTGCAAGAGGATCAAAGGGAATCGGAGAATTAAGATGTGTTACGTACATGTACAAATTCTGCACGATAAACCTAATCATTATGTACAAACATACTGGTAAAAAACATTTAAAAACTAATGAACACAGAGCTGCCTAGCAATCTCCAGGTTCTAAGCTCCATTGCTGGCACTGCACATGGTGTAGATAAGAAACACATTACAAGTACATGGCTTTGTTTTTACTGTTCCAGTCTTGGAAACTTTGACTATAAGACTGATGCCAGGGCCTGTAGAGTAACAAAAATTTCACAGCAATTATAGTCTCTTAGATGGAACTGCAGGTTATGCAATATTATTGCAACAAAGCACTCTGAACACCTCATCCCAGGTTTTAATGCTAATCTCCTAAGGTCAGCTTGGTTTTTTGACACAGCATCTCACTATGTAGTTCAGGCTGTCCTTGAACTCACAGCAGTTCTCCTGCCTCAGCCTCCTGAGTGCAGGAATTACAGTTGTGTACTATGACACCCAGCAAGATCAGTTTGTTATCATTTTAAGGCCTGAACTTGCGATGGTGATAACTTCTGCTATACCTTCCCTTCTCTCTCCTGGTTTCTTTATTTCATCAGAAGAGCGTTTGTAGGTCCTCTTTTTAAATCTGTGCAGAGAGGTCTAAGCACTGCCATTATCCCCGCTAAAGACACATCACTCAATGAAGCAACAGTGAGGATTATCTAGTCATCACTTAAGCTTGGCTATGGGATTTATTAATTTTTTGGCAGCGGATTTACTTAAATGTTTTTATGTCATAAAGAAAGATGTTGGAAATAATATGGTGATTTCTCACACAAAAATAACAGGGCTGAGGTTGTAGGCTCAGTGGTATTGATCAATGTGCTTAAAGTCCACACTATTTGTCCTTTTGTGACAGGATCATTTCACACAGCAAAATGTCCTTAAAACTCACCTGACTTTTAGCATTTGACAGAACTGTTTTCCTGTTTGTAATACCTCATTGTATGTAAATACATTTTATTCATTTACTGAGGGAGACTTAACTTGCTTTACTCAGTCCCCAATCTCTCTTACTCATTCTCATTCTTGTTCTCGTTCTCATTCTCGTTTCCTTTCTCTCTCCGTCTCTCTGTCTCCCTCCCTCTCCCTCTCTCTCTTTCTCTCTCCCTTCCTCTCTCTCTCTATCTCTCTCTCTCTCTCACACTCACACATGCACACTTAAATGTATAATTACCATATGATAAAGCAATTCCATTTCAGGGTATTTAAAGGAATTGAAGACAAGCCTTGGAACAGACATTCATATACCCTTGTTTGAAGTAGCACTATTCATAATAATTAAAGGGTAGAAGAGGTCACTGAAGATGGTAGAAATAATTTCAAGGAAAAGGAAGTATTTTTTGCACAGGTTAGAGAAAAAAGGTACTGGTAGCTGGGCATGGTGGTACATGCCTATATTCCTAGCACTGTGAGACGCTGAGGCAGGAGGATTGCAAATTCAAGCTCAGCCTGAGCAACTTAGCATGACTTTATGTCAAAATAAAATATCAAAATGGGCTGGTGATGTAGCTCTGTCCAAAGGCCCTGGTTTAATTCCCAGTACCACGCGCGCACGCACACACACACACACACACACACACACACACACACAAAGGAGAAAAAAGAGAAGGCCACTAAATTTGGTAACTGGGAAGCCATGTATTCCTTTTTCCTTTCAGAAGAGCAGTTTCTGATGGGTGGGTAGTAGCTAGTAATGGCTGTTGAAGAAGATGCAGCTGTTGGTATAGTGCCTATCATGTGATAGCTGTCTGTGAAGAAAGGCACGGGAACCTATGGCAGGTCAGGATGTATGGCCTATAGAAGATGTTTGGGACTGAGTTTGAGACTTTTTGTAAGCAAAAAGGAAAGAAATGTTAGCTGTAAAGAGATGGACTATTTTGGGAAAATTTGAAAAGTAGAAGGATCAAGGCCCTAGACCAGAATTAGAGTCACTTGGGAAGCTTTAAAAACTGTTGTGTCCCTCAACAGAACAACTAAATATTTATGTTCCTAGGCATCAGAATTTTTCAGTTCTCTTCTATTCTTCCCCTAATTGATTCTAATGTGTATCCATGGTAAGAGTATTTGTGCCAGGTTTTAAGAGAGGAATGCTGTTGAAAAGAGTAGATTGGTAAAGGTATAGAGACACATGTAGACCCTAAGTAAGAAGTAACACAAAGCAGAAAGGGAAAGAATTATGAATCTTGAGTTGGAAGCCCTTTATCTTCTTAGTAGAGTAAAAGGTAGTATCTTCCACAGACCGGGAAACCTGGGACCTGAGCAATTAGAAGAAAGCTTAGGGACAAATGTCTTGGCCAGTGTGACAGACATTACTGAGGGCAATAAAAAGGATTGCCAAGAAGCAATCAGTGCCACAGATATAGTAACTGTTATTCTTAGATGTCCCCCAAAGCCTCATGCAGTCATGGGGAGTGGAGTGGGCTTTTTTTGGAGATGGCTGAATCTAGAGTGTGTGATTGATTCATAGTGTAATGCTAGGGTTAAGAGTGCTGTGATTGAAGGTGGATGATTGCTGGATCAGTCCACTGATTAGATTGGCACCACACTAATCCCAGTAGACTGGATATAATATAAGGGACAGAAAGAGGCTTGTCTTACCTTTTTGCTCTTATAGCTTTTCCTGTCTTCTACCACCATAGACTGTTGCCTCCTGCCATGGTGTGTCTCTGCCTTAGAGCCAGCTGATTATGGACTGGAATCTCTATGTACTGTGAACTAAATAAACCTTTCCCCTTTTTATTTTAAGTGTTGGGTTTCTCCTCTCAGCAATGAGAAAAGTAACTAAAACAGAATTTGCTACCAGAAGTGGATTTGTTGCTGTGACTATACCATGTGGTTCAGGAGCCTTTGGGAATGGCTTGTGGGAAGAGTTTGGAGATACCAGCTAAAAAGGTAGAGTTGGACCACCTTAGGCTATAGTGTATGGGAGCTTCTAGTTAGAGCTCAGAAGACCAGAGGCTGATAGAAATACTGCCAGTAAAGACCAGGCATCGGAAGTTTCTGCAGAGAAGAAGGACTGCTTTGGTTGTTGGATTTCAGGTAATGTGTATTATGGCATGGTAAAAAGTTTGTTTGCATTTTGCTTATGTCCAGAGACTTTGCCTGAGACTGAGATTAAGGGCAGCAGACTCCTTAATCTTGCAGAAGAGATTCCAAGGCAGTCTAAGGTTGAAGCAGTGGCATGGCTACTGTTGGGGTCTTTCAGCCAGATTTATGTTGAGAAGAAAGAGCAGAGAGCCAAGCAGAATAATTCAAAATGTGAGTTTAGACAGAAAGAAAGTTCCATTAAAGTTGTGGCCTACAAAGATGGAACAGAGAAGAAACTGCAGTAGCTGAAAAGTCTAGCAAGGAAAAGCCAAATATTTCAGGAAAAGACAACAAAAAAGATGGCCTGAGGATATTAAAAGAATCAACAAGCTGGGTGTGGTGCCTGTAATCCCACCACTCAGAAGGCTGAGGCAGAAAGATTGCTGTGAGTTTCTAGGCCAACCTAGGCTAAATAGTGAGTTTAAGGGCAGCCTGGACTACATAGTAAGACCCTGTCTCAAAAGAAGAAGAGGGAAAAAAAAGAACCAACGGAACTCCAGCCTTTGCCGTTTCGGAGTTGTAAAGGTGATGAAAGATTTTGTTTTGAGAAGAAAGCCCCAGAGTACTATATTCCAGAATGGCAGCAGCTTCAGGAAGTTATTTCTTGGGATATGTTCATGGGCACTCAACCAATATAGACAAGAGAGAAAAAAGAGCCTGCCTACTGCTTCAGCTGATGGTAGACCTTGTCATCATCCTTACATGACGGTTTTAGGTGCATGCAGAATACAAGAGTTGTGGGGTCAGGAAGTCTTCCACCAAGATTTCAGAAGAAAACCTGGGAGGCTGGACAGTTACCCTGAGATGGCAATATATAACACTGTCAGTGTGAAGCCGGTGGTGTAGTAGAGACCTCAGAAGGTTGGAGAAGCCAGAAATATGAGTCATCTGAGGAAAACTGCAAGGAAAGAGGAGAGTTGGCCCCAGAGAGAAGCTGTGGGAGCTACAATCACTGGAAGTGCTGTAGGGGCAGAACTGCCCAAACCCTTTGGAGTTCACATCTTGCCACAGATTACCTTGGATACTGCACATTGAACTAGAGGACTTAATGTCTGTCCTGCTGGATTTTAGACTTACTTTGCTCCCATTCCTTTGTATCCCCGTTTGTAACTTCTATCTTGTGCCATTGAATATTGAAAGTGTTTAACTTTCATTTGTACAGGAGCTTACAGCTGAGAGTTTGCCTTAAATCTTAGAGGGGACCTGGAACTTGGACTTTTTACCAATGCTGAAGCTGGTAGGACTTTGGCAACTCTTAGAGATGGACCAAATGCCTCATGAAGGCATGTATATGAGTCTTCGGAGGGCCAGAGGTGGAATGTTATAGTTTGTGTCTAGCTGTCCCCACAAAGCCTCATACAGTCATGAGGGATGGACTTTCCAGATGTGGCTGAATCTAGAATATGCAGTGCTGGGATTAAGGATGGATGGTTCCTGGATCAGTCCACTGATTGGACTGGCACTGCCCTAATCCCAACAGTCTGGATAAGATAAAAGGGGCAGAAAGAGGCTTGCTCCCCCACTTGTTGCTTTGTTAACTTCTACCTGCTGTGACTGTTCTCCTCTGACAAGCCTCCCTACCATGAAGCCAGCCAATTAAGTACTGAAACCACTACAAACTGAGAGTTAAATAAATCTTTCCTCCTTTAACTTTGGGTGTCAGGTATTTTGTCTCAGCAACAAGAAAAGTAACTAAGACAGTAATGTAAATGTGTGGCCCATGTGGTTAGAATGTCTTTATAATTTCTCCATTAACACTTACCAGGCTGTAGGGATTATCTAAGAATTATTTAGAAGAAAATATAAAAGGGGGTGTTTTCTCCATCATTGTACATTAGCATAGTGTTAGGTTAAGGTGGCAGGAATGCTGGGGAAGGCAGTGCTGAAGTGACTGTCCATAGAAGTTGGGGTTATTAAATGTGCAGGAGCTGGAGCTCTTTTTAACTGGCCCCTGCTACAACAGACTCCTCTCCAAGCCTGAGTCAGCCACTTCTTTGCTATTTGCACTCAATTTCTGTTGCTTTGCATGAAGACTTTCTCTTTTTGGACTACCTCTTTTCCTCTGCCCACATTACTGGATTGCAGTATCTCAATCAACACTTTCCATAGGTTCTAATTTTTCTGTTATGTGACCATTTCCCCCAGTGCATTGGGAAATTCCCGTGACACTGTATCTTATCCATGTTGTCTAGTGTAGTGTTTAGCATAGTAAAATTTACTAAATGATTAGCTATTTAATTTTCCCATATCCTATCAGTGAACATTTTTCAACTCTCTTTTAACTGAGAGGAAGTTGAAAAATGTTCATTGATCAAATATTGTTTGGGTGGGCTCCTGTATATTAGTCAACTTTCCCATCACTGGGACAAAATACTCTATACCCAAAATATTTTAGCTCACAGTTTCCAGTGAGTTCAGTCCCTGGTCAACAGATTTCAAGGCAAAAATGGCAAAGTGAAAGGGCATGGTGAGGAAAGCTTCTCACACCATGGTGGCCAGGAAGCAGTGAAAGAGAAAGAACTGGGGGCAAGAATACATCCTTCCAAGTCATACACCCAGTGACCTGCCTTTTATGATCAGGCCTCACCTCCTAACAGCACATTCAGGTATAAACTTTACCAGTGGCTTAATCCAATGATGAGTATAGCACCCCATAACACAGTCACTTTCCAAATCACCTTTGCTAACTCTGAATATATGAGTTTGGGGGGAATTTCAGATTTAAACCTTGGCACCCTATACACAAAAAGGCAGAAGTTAAAGAAATGAAACCTGCATATACCTACATGGTTGGTAATGGTAAAGTCTAAGCATAATATGTTTTTGGAATACAGTGCAGAGAAGTCACTTTTAGTACAAGGGTTTTGGGAAGAGGGATTCAATTTCCCTGAAATTGTGGTAGCAAAATTTTGTTACACGTACATTTGTGTGTTTTTTCTGAGAAATGGTTCATAAGTTCTCAAAGGGATGCAAAGCCCCAGAAGATTAAGAATCACTGTAGGGGCTCTCTGAAGTGGGTCAGTTTGCTTCCTGTGTCAAGGTGACTCTGGAGGGGGGGAGTATTCATTCATGCCAGCTGTATCCTCCACAGCTATTTCCTTCGGGCCACTATCAGCCGCCGCCTCAATGATGTTGTCAAAGAGATGGACATTGTAGTGCACACTCTGAGCACGTACCCGGAGCTGAACTCTTCCATCAAAATGGAGGTTGGGATCGAGGACTGCCTGCACATTGAGTTTGAATACAATAAATCCAAGTAAGTGTCCTGGGACCCAAGGTAGTGGCATAGTTATTTAGGGAGGTTAAAACAAAACCTGATCTGGATGCAAAGTGATGGGAGCCCCGTGATTTCACTATGTCCTGGTGACATCTTCTAGGGGGAGATCACAGAAATAGTACAGTGAATATATATGTTGGGGTAGTTTCAGAAAATGGAGGAGGAAATATTTAAACTACACTACAGTAAATTAAATGTTACATTTAATTTAAATAAGATATAAATAAAGATATTTGAAGTTAAATATCCTAACATGCCTTTTCAAGGCCAAGCTAAACTAAATTTAAGGTTATTTGTTTTAGATTCTGAGTACAGCTATTTCCTTCTGTGGATGAGATCAAAAACAGAACACAATTCCATTATCATCTGTTTCCTCCTTGTCCTTACCAATCAAAGCGAGGAAACCAAACACTGGCAGTGGTTTGTTGCTTCCTCCCTGAACTGAAATGAATTGTGGCAAAGAACACCTGATGCATTTTATAAAGATCTTAAAATAACTTTATTTTAATTGGCAAGTTGGTAAACTGTGTGTACTGTTAGAATGTAAAAAAACTTCTGAATCATAAAACTTTTTGGCAGTCGGACAGTTTAAATGGCATCTTTCCTTTGAATATAATACATTCCTAAAAATGTTTGGAAATCAAATATCTACAAGGAAAAGTGATATTCTATTCATAGAGGGCTTAAAAAAAAATCACACAGTCTGTAGTTACAGTTCTCACTATAATATGCCCCAGGCCCACAAGAGGCTGGGGGTAGTGGGAGCTGAGCCACATGGTTTGCTTTTGAGGGGGTTGGGAACATACGTGAATCTGAAAATAGACAGGAAGTTAAGGTGTACCTTTCCTTCCCTGCCCTCTGTCCTGGGACCCTGTAGGTACCCTCTAACATGACCACTGGAACCAGCCTACTTGGCCTGGCCTCCTTGGAGCAGGCCTTGAGGTACTGGGAAGGCAGTTGATCTGGGCCTGGCATGGGAGCAAGCTTCTTCCCTTCTTGGTTTTGGGGTTCTATGTGGTCCTCCCCACCAGCAACCCAGTCACCTTGTGAAGGCAGCAGCCAGCAGCAGTGCCACTTGGAATAGCTTGGAATAGCCATTCACTATGTATATATAAGGCCAAAAGGAAGTAAAAAGAATTAAGATGTGTTATGTACATGTAATAACTTCCCATGAGGAGTGTAATCATTATGTACTATAAACATGTACTAATAAAAAATTATTTAAAAAGTATCTACAAGACCAAAGTTAGTGTGGAAAAGATGCTCTAGTGAATTAGTTACATGTAGTTAAGGAACAGATATTTCCAAACTGCTGCTCTCTGTTCATGATAGACTATACTATGTGAGAATACATGATTTATATATAGTAGAAAGGACCTAGGACTTCAGATCAGGCCCTATTCTGCCATTAGGAAGTTTGGCTAAGGTTAGTAGGTACTACCATTTTTGTACCTCAGTTTCTTAGCTGAAAAGTGAAGAGCATGGACCAGGTCAGTGGGTTTCAGAAACACACAGAAAAAGTGTGATATGAAGGAACAGCCACAGTTGTCTCTCAGATAGGTGTACTTCCATGTACGATTTCATATAGAATAAAGAAACGTTTCCTTTACAAAAGTTTAGAAAACCTTAGAGTCCCTGGTCATTAAGTATCACTGTGAAATGCTACCAGCGACTTCCTGCCGCTCTCACAAGTATGCTGAGGTCAGGTATTCAGTGCCGGCACTCTTACCAACAGATTGCACTCAGAAGGGCACTGTGACATAGCAGGAAGCGCCCAATCCTAGACATCAGGCACCTGGGCTCACCTCTGTCTTTGCCCTTTATGCTCATCCAGGTCAAATGATTATTCTATCCCAACTTTCATTTTTTTTACCTGTCTAATGAGGAAGCTAAATTCTGAATTCCCTCCCAGTAATTTATGTCCAATGAGTTTGAGTTCCAGCTTTGAAGAGTTTTTCTGTCATGCCTGATAGATTACCAGTACTACTGACTGACCCAAAGTGAAAAACTTGAAAGGTAAGAAAGTGTTACTGCAATGTGACTAAATTGCTAGTAGCTCACAGACTACAAGCCATATGAGCAGAAGCCAGAGGACAGGCATTGATGCAGAGAGGACTCATCTCATTCAACTATTCTTGCCTGGTTAGCCCAGCCCAGCACAAACAAAAGTGTTTGGTGTTAACCATTCAGGCTCCATTCCCAAATGACATTATGTGGAGATCAGAGAGGAAGGGAGAGACCTGGTTCATGCGTTTGTGGGATCAGCCTCCTGTACATTAGAAAAACACATTTAAAAAAATATACAAAAGTACAGAAGGTATATGCTGAGGAGACAGAGCAGATGAACAGTTATGAACAGGTGAAATATCATGGAGGATCAACATCCTTTGAGTTGGAACAATGGAAGAATCACTTAGATTCAGGTAAAGAATGCACTGGGAAGCCATTCCACCACAGCGGTGAGGGTGAGAAGACAGGTGAGTGTGTACTGTGACTGTACCTTCAGCCACCATGCGAGGCTAGGGCACTGTCCTTGCCACTGAAACAAAACAGAGCCAGCTACTGCACCAATATTTTGCTTCTATTTTCTTTTCCTCAGATACCACTTGAAAGATGTCATTGTAGGGAAGATATACTTCTTGCTGGTGAGAATCAAAATCAAGCACATGGAGATAGACATCATCAAACGGGAAACGACAGGCACTGGCCCCAATGTTTACCACGAGAATGACACAATAGCCAAGTATGAGATCATGGATGGGGCACCAGTACGAGGTGAGCCTCCTCACACAGGGCCTTGGCCACCACCCCTTTGGTCCTGAGGCTCTGTACAGAATTTGGAAGGGCTTGAGAGATACGTTAAAGTAAGATGTCCTGTTAACCTGTGATTTCTTAATCTAATTGTGCACCATAGGTATCACTAAGGAGGAAGAAAAAGGCTGAGTCTGTGGAATTTTAGACTCCCACCCCATCTTCCACCAGACCAACTCCATGTTGACCTCATTTGCTAATAGTTTGAACATTTCACTCCTTCCTACTAACATTTCTGAAATTCTTTGCTGCTTGAGCCAAGAGTTTCATGCACAGTAGTTTTTTTTCTTACTTAGTCCTACCTCTGATAAAATCCATTTATTTATCTATTTATCTATCTAGCTGTTTATTTATTTAATGGCATGGAGGGTTGAACCCAGGGCCTCTTGCATAATAGCCAAGCACTCTACCACTGAGCTATACTCCCAGAATCTAGGTGTAGTAAAACGATTCACTCTGACTCATTTGCTGAGCACTACTAGATAGGTTGGCTCACATTTCCAGGTACTACAGAGGGCACTGGGCACCAATGGAAATGGTCCTCCCCAATCTCCACAGAGCTCGTACTGAATTGGGGTGAGTGGATTTGAAAGCCCTTTGATACTTGGGTATCTGCCTGATTATTTAGGAGTAGCAATCATTTATGTTCTTTATTGCCTCTAGTAATCAAGGATAAAGACTGTCTCTTCTCACTTTGAAGTGCTTGGTGCTTCTGAGGTTGTATTCAGCATATTCTAAGACTATTCCATGTGGAAGGAGGAGTGTCACAGATTTAGTGTCCTGTAGCACTGGGGACACCCTCAGATTCTTTGGTGTCACTGTGCCAGCCCCTTGGGGCATTTGGACTCTGATTCTCTAATTTTTTTTTTTAAACCATATTTGCAAGTAGAGTCAACTTCATATCTCGTATACCTATGAATTGGGGCACTGAGAATACACAACAACAGATAATTAAAAGATCTTTTATATTTAGCTTTTAGACTGCATTATGGGTCTGTCCTTTCTCAGTAGAAGTACTGCCCTAATTTTGTTCCTTATGCACTAGGGAAAGGCATGGAGTTAAGAGCTGGAAAGACCTAAAATATTGTTCAGTGAGATTCTGTAATTTTCCACATGAGAAAATTAAAAGTCCAGAGAAAGCAACAGATTTACTCAGAAGTCATACAGCTGATTAGTGGAGAACAGGGGCCAAGATGAGGGTTTTCTGTCTCCCAGGGCACCAGACCATTAGAGCAGGGATATATTCTCGGGGCACACACTAACTAGGGTGGAGGGAGGTAGCATTGCATTGCTGGGTGGCATGGTGAAGGATCTGGGGTTTGACAGCTGCCTCTTGGAAATCTGAGAACTAGAAACATTATACGTAATGAAAATATGCTGAATAACTTCCTCATACCATTCACACTCACCTGTTTCTTACTGCTTCCTGCATGGGAAGGTGAGAGGACATTCAAAAACCACAAGACTGGAACAAAACTGGGAGTCATAGTTTTGCCCTGGGAAGCAGACATTTGCTTACTGTTCTGTGACATGCTCAGCTGGCATCTCACTTGCCATCATCAGAGAGGAAAGCAGTCGGTCACTTTTTGGCCTAATTCCCACTTCATCTATTACAGGAGAGTCCATCCCGATCCGGCTCTTCCTGGCAGGATATGAGCTCACACCCACAATGCGAGACATAAACAAGAAGTTCTCCGTGCGCTATTACCTCAACCTAGTGCTGATTGATGAGGAGGAACGGCGCTACTTCAAGCAGCAGGTGAGGTACTTCCTCCAGGCCCCTGGATACCCTCGGGACGGAATGGAAAGGCCATCATTCCCATGTAGGGTCAGGCTCTATTTTTGATAGATAAAACAGAATGGTGCAAGGGAGAGACCTCCTAAGTCTCTGTACCGCTTGTTATTTTACCAAGAGGTAGAGGCATTAGGTTATTTAGAATCCTATAGCAGGAATGAGAGTTCCCACTTATACTCAGTCTGCTTGCTTTATCAGGCCTACCTCCTATAACCATCTGCCCTCGGCCCCACAGCAGGAATATGGGGTAGTGGCACCCACTGCTTCAGTGAGATAAACAGAGTTCTTACACAAGATTCCCTAGGACAGAAGTGGAAGGCTCTGGAGAAATCCCTGAGCCTCCCTGTCAGGCGTCATATTGATCCCTCTCCTAATTCTGCAGGAAGTCGTGTTATGGCGGAAGGGTGACATTGTACGGAAGAGCATGTCCCACCAGGCAGCCATCGCCTCACAGCGCTTTGAGGGCACAGCCTCCCTGGGTGAGGTGCGGACACCCAGCCAGCTGTCCGACAACAACAGCAGGCAGTAGGCCCCTGGGCCAAGAAGCTGCGGGCCTTCTACCCCAGCAACCCCCATCTACCAAACACCAGCGGCTGAGGGAGGGGAAGGATGGTGTGAGGCTCAGCTGACCATTATTTGCAACCTGAAAACAAATCATGTTTTTGATATAAATTCTTTTCTCTGAAGAACCGAAGGGGCTTGGATTGGGAAGCAGTCTCCTTGGGATTCTGCGGCTGACACGAGGCTAGGGAGAGGAGGCATTGTGGAAGCTAGTCTTTCTCTGGGAAATAAGTGCCCTCCTCCTGGGCTGGTTTTTGTGTCTGGGAGGACAGCCAGGAGCACACAGCCTTGGCTTCTGGCTCTGGGTTTCCTGACATAGGGTCTGAGCACGTCCCTGGGATTCTGAGCCGCCAGCTGGGCCCTGGGTAGTCATGTCTTTTATTCCCTTTGACCATTCCTGAGGTGGTGGCAAGAGGAGAGGGCCTGTCCCTTCCTGAATGGGGTGAGGGGATGTCAAGATCAGGAAGCTACCTCTCTGGGAGTCCTGGATGTGGTGCTTTGGAGTTTCCAGTCATCATCTCCCTAGCCTGTCATTGCTGGGACCCAGGTGCCTGCCTTCTCCACCTGCTCTGGATTGTCATGAACATCCCAGGACAGAAGCTGATGAACAGCCTGGGGATGCCTGTCTCCTCATCCAAGAGAGTTATGTGGGTCCAGAGGAGCCCTGGGGTCTGTGTGATACATACATGGCCAGGAGGCTGAGCCAAGCCCACTAAGGAAGGAAAACTCAAGCATGGCAACTGTCTGCCTTTAAGTGTGACTACTTTGAGCCTGAGGTCCAGGTCCTTCTAGGGTATTACTGTGGTGACCCAGCCAGCTGCAAGCAAGAGTGTCTCTTCCCTTTAAGACGTCTTAGGAAGGGACCAGGAGTCTTTTCCTCCATCAGACCGGACCCTTTCCACTCCTTGTCCCCCATTTAATTTCTGGGAATCAGGGCTTGGTTTTAAGCACTTGCAAGTTCTGTTCTTACCCCTACTTTAAGCCCTTCACCCATCTAAAGTTAAGGAAAGGAGGTGAGAACCCCAGCGGAGGATTTTGTTACAACTTCAGGATAATTTTGGTTGCCAAATTACATCTGCATCTTCAGCAATTCACTCACCTACGTTTAGGATCATTTTTTTTGTTTAAAAAACATAAATATGAAAGATTTTGTGGATGTTATTATACTAGAAAAGTTTTCCCTTGTTGCTCTGTGTTTGGGCCTATACTAAAGTAGTAAAAGTATTTACCATCTTTTCTGCCTCATCTGGATGACCAGGAATTACTCTATTGCTCTCCCTTTCCTTTATAAAAAGACCAATCAGACCCCACTGGGCAGTGAGTACAGTGTCCAGTCCTCTTCGGTTTTTGGTAATTTGGAAAGTGGAGGCATTGGTTCCTGTCTCCTGTTTGAGCTAGTGTAGAAAACAGGACTCCTCTTTTCATCAGAAATCAGGACAAGCTTGGGCCTTGCCTGGGCCAGGCTTCTGGATCAGTGAGACTGGAGGGAGACAGTTGTGGGGACGTGTGCAGTTGACTGGGAGCAGCAGAACCAAGGTGAATTTGTTCCCCCGTGTCAGACTTGGAGTTCAGGTGCGACACACAATCCCCATGGAGCACAGCCACCCAACTGCCCTTGGATTACCAAGGGTGGGGCTTACACATCCGAGAAAGGCGGGTTGTGCCTTTTTTCGTATCACGAGAATAGGCTCTGGTATGCCTCCTTTTAATAGGCGGTATTCTAACTAGAAAGCATTTGTCAATTCCTCTGCCTCCCAGTTGACAACAAACATTCACTTCCCAACTTTCCTAACAACTTAACCTTTCTTCTGGGAAAACTAGAAGGTAGAATTTGCTTTATCTCAGGAGTTGTGAACAAGCCAGGTCTTGTTTTCTGACTCTACCCATATTCTTTCTTCTCTGTCAACTGTGAAAGTGAGGGGGAGTTTCTGTTACCCTCCTTTAAGGTCCCCAGACCTGGAGCGCATTAGGTACTAAACCAAGCAGTGCAACTTGTCATTAAGCAGCTGCAGTGTTTACATGTTTCTTAATGTGTTGTCTTTTCAATGGCTGTATTTTAAAAGAACACTTGTTTTAATGGTCTAATTAAAGGACGCCCTGTGGCTCTGGGGGCATTGTGCCCATGGTTGCCAGGTTCTGTGGTCTCTTCTGTCTTAGCATTTTCCCACCCCTGACACTCAGGGAAAAGCAATGCCTGCTGTGATGCCAACACAGCCCTGCCCTTTGAGGAGATGGCCCCTGGCAAGCACTGATGAGCACTCCATCAACCAACGGCTGTAGACAAGTGCATGGCTAAGGAGTAAACTCAGATTCCCATCTGTCACCTTGTCCTGAAAACGCCCATGGCTTAAACTGAATTCTGTGGGGCCCAGAGGACTGAGGGGCGGGTGAGAAAGGCTGGTACAGAAAGGCCAAAAGTTGGTTCCAGTGGGTATTACAACTACTAGCAATGATACAGGTAAGGTGCTCTGCATCTTCAAGCAGCAAAAGAAGCCAGGCTGAAGGAAAGAGCTTCAGGGGCATATTCTACCACATCCAAAGTTTTAAAAGAAACACTCTCCACCTTTTAATATTAAATCTTTTATTGAAAAAAGTACTCAAAACCATCTAGGTAAATAGTCCCGGGTGACATTACAAGCAAGCTTTCTTTTGTCTTATAAAATTGTGCCTTCTTTGGAGTAATGGCTTGTCCATTCCAGCAGTAGTGTTAACTTGGTTCCTTTTCTTCCAGGCTCAAAATAAAATCAAACTCTTCTACCAAAAAGGGAAAAAGGAAGAATTAGTTGGTGTTATGTGTCCTTTTGCACAGAAGTTAATGCCAGGCACTGGTACATACTGTACATGTTACAAAAGCAGAAGTTATTTATTGATAAGCAAAGGGTATCTTACTAAGTACCAAGCACTGCTACGCACTGGATCCATAATAATAGGCAGCTCAGGGTACCTGTCCCTATCTTGTATGTGATAGGTAAGGAAACTTAGGTTTAATGACATGCCCAAGTTTAGTCAGGTAATGAGTGTGAATTCATGGGGTCCTTTCTAGCATGTGGATGATGAGGGCAAGGGCCCACTCTTACCTTGTGTAAGGGACTGAACTGAGAGTCTCTGGCGAGTGAAGAGAGCCATGTTTTTTAAGGGACCACCAGAAGCTTTGTGAGCTTGGTGATAGGTTTTAAGCTCAGCCAGGGAGATGAAACGCTTCATTATCCGAATAAATTGTACATCCACCTGTGTGACAACAGAGCATGGGACAGAAAGATGTGTCCAGCCAGACTGCCCACTAGAAGAGATGAGTCTACTATGTTGCCCAGCTTGACCTCCTGCTTTAACTTCCCAAGTAGCCACAATTAGCAGCATGTACCATCATGCCTGCTTGCTGTGTTTCTATTGCTTACAGAAGGCTACCATGGGCAGGGCTGCCAATATTGTTTTAATTTCCAAAAATCACCAAGACTTCATTAACTCAGTGCTGTGCTGTATTCCTTGACTTAACACCACTCATACCCCTTACTCCTCTTTGTATATTTATCCCTTCTCTTGAAATAGGAAGAATAGGCAGTCTTTACCATGAACCATTTGGGGTTGTCCTTTTTGCTGGATGGATCATAATAAGGGTTGTTTTTCTCAAACTGTGTGTGGTCTGGGTAAGCCTCCTTTACAATCTGAAATCAAGCCGAAAAATCTCCAGTCATCGCCTGCACAGTAGCTCTGTCCTCAGCTCTTTAGACTTTGTCAATCAGATGTTTGTCAGCTCTGCAGTCAATCTTTAACACACCTGACTCATTACCCTGCAGTCTTACCCCATCACACTGGCTGCAGAGCCAATATGAGCTTAGATATCTGAAAATATACAGTATAAGGCAAGTGTAGTTAGAAAACCAACCCCGTTTTACAAAAGTATTAAAAGCATGTTCCAAAACTAAATGCTAAAAGTGATTACTGGCACCCCCAGTTTTCCCGTGCTGTACAGTTAATAATTTTATCCTAGTAGCTTTTGGCTTGAAGGAACTAACATCAGGCCTGTTTTTGAATGAGAGACCAAGGCTTAGAAATGAAGAGAAGTATATGCTGGGGGCCTGAAGTGAAACACTGCCTTACTTAGTTACTATATAGGAAGGGGCCAGGGAAATTCATCTATTCTGTGATGGATGTGGGAGGAGAGTACTTTTTTGTTACCTATTTAAGGTACATTCCTTTAAATTTATATGAGTAAGTCGTCCTGGAAGGAGAGGGATGTAGACCAAAACCTGTCCTTCTAACCTTCATAAGTCCTGCGATGCCTGGCTCTTTGCAGTTGCTATGGTAGAAGAAGACTTCATCCTCCAGCTTCATGGCTCTAAGGAAGTTCCGAGCCTTTCTCGGGAAAACAACAGATATCTTATCATAAGAAAGTTTGTCTCCTTTGCCAAGATTTCTAGACATACACTAGTGTACTGGCCAGAACCAGGCCACTTGCAGATTTCATGCAGTCAGAGTAATTAAGGTATTTTTGAAAACATTTTCAGGCTAGGGCTCTTAGTCAAGAGGTTCTGGCCCTGAGTAAGTCATGAGGGAAAGTGGGCATTTACCTCACAATCCTAGATCTCATGGGCCCTGCCCCATATCCTCTTACCTGGTAGTTTCGAACACCATCCCAGCAGGCTGTCTGCTCAGGCTGTGCTTTGAGGTCCTCAATGCTGAACTAGGCACGAAGAAATAAAGTCATTTACTCAACAATCTTTGCCCAGTTAGTAAGCATATATGGAAGCAGACAGTTGCCGTCCCCACAACTGAGGCACTGTAGGCTATACTGGGAATCTATAGTTTACTGAGAAGGATTTCATGTAGCTGCTTGGTACATGAATATATGCCTTGTGTCATCTTGTTATTTTTATTAAGAGCATTAGTTAAATAGGTAATTCATATGATAAAGTAATATGATTTCCTTGCATTTCACTTATTAAAGTATTATATACTTCTACAATATTTCTACTTAAATTTTCTCCAGGCTACTAAAATTGGTATACATTCCCTGGATATATAAAAATTGTTGGCAGAGTGACACCAAGAAGCATGGCAAATGATAAAAGCAGGCCAAGACTGAGTTGGCAAATTATAGCCAACGGGCAAAATTTCGCCCTTTGCCTAATTTTGTAATAAAGTTTTACTTCAGCATAACTACTCCTGTTTGTTTATACACTTTCTTTCTATGCAAGCAGAATTGCAACAGACTGAGACTCAGAAGCCTACAGTAGTATTTCACTCTCTGACCCTTTGCAAAAAGTTTGCCAACCCACGCCAAAATATAGGAGAACAGATACAGGTTAAACATATCAATCTGAAACCTGATATGCTCTGAAATGTACCCACATTCAAAAAGCTTTGGGTTTGGATTTCAAGTTTTTCAATTAGGGATGCTAAACCTATAAAATCTATGCAAACATTCCACAACTTGAAGGTCTAAAGCACTTCCAATAAGAGATATTCAACCTGCAGTTGATCACAAATCCAGCTAATTTTATTCATTTTTACCTTTATCCTTCAGAAGGGAAAAGCCAGTGGTGGAATCCTATGATTACCTTTCAGTTTTTAAAAATAGCACAAAAGGATTAGGGGCAAGCAGTCCCACCTTCACATCGACACCTTTCTCTAGTCGGCTCTCTGGCTCTGACTTCATCAGCCAGTAGTTGCTTAGATTCTTCCCACAGTTTTTTGAGTCTGAAACTGTCTCTGGACTGGAGTTCTCCACATGAGCTGATGTCTCATTTGAGTTCTCAGTTTTGATGTGTTTTCCTGATAGCTCCTTCTTGTCTGCAAAAGGAAAAGGAAAGACCTATCATGTTTGCTAGAGGTAATACTTTATTATAGACAAGCTTACCCTTTGACATCACACCTAGATTCAAATCCTGGGTCCTACAAGTACTAGCTATAGCACCTTAGTCTTAAACATATGAAACTTCAGGTTATCTATAAAAATGGGACCAGAATACCTGCTTTACAGGCTAACTTCTAAGTAATCTATTTAGTAAGATAAGAACATCTTGTGGGTTACGAATAAAGCACACTGGTGGTATTCAATGTTTCCTTCACTCATTTTCTCTTCTGTGCCTTTACTCAGGCTATCTTTTTCCACTGAGGAAATGAATACTTAAGAGTTGTTCTGGTGATAAAATGAGAATACAGATCAAAGGCTTAGAAAATGCCTGGCTGAATAATAAATCATCAGTAAACATTAGATATTATCATCGTCTTAGACTTCTTTCCCTCTTGGTCACTGTACTTCAAGCTTACCTTTCTGCTCCCTGAAGATGCTAAGAGAAGCTGGAAAAATCAGTTCATATAGGATCTTGTAGATACAATAAAAACTGGATTTTATTCTATGAGGATTAGAGACAAATATGCCTGGAACATCATGGCACTTAATAGCTAATAGTTGTTAAATTCATGGTATGTGACAGGCTCCAAGCTGTGTTATTCTAACCCTAACTTGGTTAATGTATATAACCTTTGAAATGTTCTATTCTTCAGCTGGGCATTGTGTTCTACATCACAAGCTGGTGATGGCAGAGTCAAGCTAAAGGCCAGGACCTGTAAGCTGGGTCTGTCTGAATCTGTACTTAAAGACAGCATTCAAGAATGCCTCTGAATTTAAGTTTCTACATCAATTACCATTAAATATTATTTATGGATGTGTAATACTTTGAACTCAGCATACTTTCCTTGCCCAATTTTTTTCCTGTCAGTCTCTTAAGAGTTAATAGGCATACTGCAAATATCATGTGTTATTAAATGACTACAATATGTTGCAGTCAGTCAGGAGCCATTCCTAAAAGACATACTTGCTTTACCTTGTCATTGCTTTATACCTGTTCTTTATCCATTTTTTTTTTTGGTACGGGGAATGGAACTCAGGACCCTGTGCTTGCCAGGCAGGATATTGTGCCACTGAGCTATATCCCTCGCACTTTATCCACTTAAAATGCCATTCACTTTGTCACAAATGACATCACATTTTCTGAGTACAAGTTGGCCTGTGGAAAGCTTTCCTGTTCAGGACTGAACTCAAATCCCACTTCGTTCTCATTGCCTTCCCTGTGATTCTTCCCTCCTCTGGGTCCTTTCACTTACACCTGCTTTCAATTTCTCTTAAGAGAAGGAATGCTGTTTTTTCACCTTTAATTATTCCTTTAACATTTAAATTATTTAACTGATACATAAAACACAAATATACCTAGTGAATTATCATGTGATACTGGATATATATACATGGTGTAATGTTTAAATCACTGTAAACATACCCCCGTGTATCCTTTCTAAATGCTAAAAACGTTCAAGAAAATTTTTTTGAAATATACTGTAGTCTTGATAGCCATCCTACTGTGCAGTACCACATCAGAACTTCTTGTTTCTATCTAACTTCGTACCCACCGATCAACCTTTTCCCCTCCCTCCATGTCCCTGAACCCCCTGACCTCAACCACCATTCTACTCTCGGCATAAGTGAGATCATGAGGCAGTTACCGTTTTTTGTGCCTGTCTAACATAATCTCCAGTTCCATCCACGTTGTAGAGAGGGAACTATAGAGTACTGTATATTCTTTTACCTCAGTCTGCAAACGTCCTTATCACTTAATAGCTCTCGCTAGAATGGCAAGCAAGCAGGACACTGCGCAGAACCTTGGCGGGGAGAGTAAAGAGAGTGAAGGGTATGAGGGCTAGCATTCAATACAGGTGAACCCTAAGACTTTCACCACTAGCAGGCAGGGGGCATGAACAGTACCGAATAGGCCCTGGGTGCAGCTCACCTGGGCCAGCAGCCCCAGCTAGCCTCTTCCGGGATCTCGGCATGGTGTCTGCAGCGGGTGACGTGCAGAGGATTCTGGAATCGACCAGGAGATACAACAAGCAACTCTACCACCCTCCAAAGCCTGCGCGGAGCCAGCTGGAGGAGAGCGAGTAAGGCCAGAGGGGTTCAGACTTAGAAAAACACAACTACGCCTAAACCGCTTAAGGCCCTCCTCCTGCGACCGGTGCCACCCCACTTCGCATAGCCCGCTCTTAAGCTCTCACCAGCGGTGCGCAACACTCCGGTCTCACCCACTAGCCGCCGTGCTCCTGGCTCAGGAGCCGGAGCGCAGGCGGAGGCGCCGCGCAGGCGTGTCTGCGGCGCAGCGCGGGCATCTCTGGGAGCTGTAGTCCTCACGCCCCTAGGCGGCCCACGGCGCGGCCGAAGGATTGGGGAGAGCCGGCTCCCAGAGTGCCGCGGGGTGGGCGCTCCCAGGGTGCCGCGGGGCGGAGCGCTCCAGGGTTTCTGTGGCATTTATCCGGCGCAGTAGTGCTGGCATTGAGGGCTTGGTTGTGTCCAAGGCATGGCAATGTGGTGCGGTTACCGGCGCCTCGGGGTACGCTTCAGCTCCTTGTGCGACAGCGTCTGGACCCGCGCCCAGGCCAGGCGCCCGCGCTGGACCGCCTGCATCGACCGTAAGGAGGGTTCAGTGGGGAGCAGGTATCTTGGACTCGGGCGGGCGTGGGTGAGGGGCCTCTCTGTCCCATTCTCCCCAGACCCCTTCCGCGCTGGGTTCGGTCACTCCGGGACACTCCCTGCTCCGTCCCGTCACTCCGGACTCTCCTGTCTCTCCGGTACCCACTACCAGTCCACCTGCAGGTACCTAGAGCAGTCGAGGAACATACCGCTTTTTTGTTTGTATATTAAAATCCCTATAGATTCTAAAGATAGAATGTAAGAAGCTGAATGCTGTTGGTGATAGATAAGGCTCCGGGTAATACAAAAATTTTTGTAATTTAATACCTGCAGGTATAAAACACATATTGTTGAATCTCTTGCAGGCGAAATATTGTAATTGTTACTGTCCATCAGACTATAAGGCCGGATGTTTTTAGGCACCAGGCAAATAAACTGAATGTATCAGGAAGTGGTTGCCACCCAGTGGGACTGATACCCAGCCAGTTTTTGACTTCTCTGTCAATCACCTATTGTTTTTCTTCTGAAATAATGTTTTGTTTATTTTAAATAAATGATGCTTTTCTTTATGGAAAAATGACCCTTTTAGATTGACAACAGATTTGTAATGTACACTAAGGAATGGAGTACTGTTTTCTTCTCAAGTACTAAAACGCGTTCAAGAGGTGCTGCCTTGTTCTGGTACTTAGAATTTGATAAGAAAAAAAAAAGGAAGGAAGAAGGAGAGAGGGAGAGAGGGAGGGAAGGAGAGACAGGGTGGGAAGGAGAGAGAGAAAGAGGGAGAGGGAGAAAGAGAAAGAAAGAAAGGGAAAAAAATTGTCTTGGCAATAAGTAAGTTGAGTATTTCCCATGGCTAATCGTGTGACTTCAGCCATTGCGACACTTTTATAAAAGAAATTTTACATTCTTCGAAGTTTTATTTCAGTTTATATATATGTATTTCTCACGGAATATCCTGAGAATTTGTGAAACTCATATATATTAGAATTCGGGGGGGGGGATGTGACATAATAATTCTTAGTTTTGTGATTTACCTAGAAAACTGACCACTACTGACCGAGTAAGTATGTGAAAGTCTTTCCAATAGGCTATAAGTTCCACGGTACTATAAACCACATCTGTCTTATTGTACACTGAATCTATGTACTGTAGGTTGATGTCTAGCATATAACATATCTAGCGAAATTTGCTTAGTAAAGGAGTGAGTTTTCATTGCTATTAAATTCTAATTAGTCAGGTGAAATAAGTTGTCTAATTGTGTATTTATGTATCAAATTAGTTGGTGAGCTGAGGCCTGGGGTTCAGTCCCCAGTACTGTAAGAAATAAAGCTAATTGATGGTTAACACATATATGTAATTGTTGATTAACATCTATTTATTTCATTGCCTATTTTAATGTTAAATAATTTTAAATTAAGATTTATTTTTCTTCTATGTCATGTATATTTGTTTTGTATAATTTGTCTCATAGGTGGGAAATTTGCTCAGTGTCTAATGTGAATTGATTTTACAGTGGCCTACCTGAGGTTTTAAAAATGTCCCTTCCTGGCATACTTGAAGTTGTACAATTAATCTTTCCAGAATCAGAGCTGAAAAGCCTGATTCCTTGTCCAGTCCTCTTGTACTACAACTTTCTGCTACTGTGAAGCATTTTTTTTAATTTTAAAAATAAAAGGAAAACATTAACAAACAACCTTTTACAAGATAGCAAAAGAACAGTACAGACAATACAGAGTTACAAAGTGGTAGGAAATTAACAATGCTTGTTGTATTACATATTGATATCTTCAAAGTGTTTTCT